GACATTCATGCAGCAAGCAGGACTTTCCAGAATTAGGCGTAGGTGGATAAATCCAGGAGACTGTCTGAGCACAGGCTTGAAATTTATTGATATGGAAGGAAATCCAACTTTTTAAAAATGCTTCAATATGTTTATGTCAGATTTATCTGAAAAATCAACAGCGTTTACGTCTCGATTTGATTCTCCTGAAGCCTGAAAACATCGCAGGACCTACAGGTTTGTAGATAACGCAGATATTCCTTGAAAGCAGATATTCCTTGAGCTTGGCATCCTCAGATATTTGCCCTGTAAATTTCACAGTTTTAACTGTACATGTCCTTTTCCCTCCTGCTAACCACAAGTTCATTTTTTCTTTAATTACCTAAAATGTGTCTCTCCGAGTGGCATGTCCTGGAATATAACTTCAAAACTTGCTGTGGGAATTGTTGACAAGTGATTAAAAATTAAAAAGAGTAGACTTGATGGCCCCATTGTGGATGCCCTTGACCCATGAAATTGAATGTGGTGTGGCTGTAAATTCTCCAACAGTTGAGAACCTGTGGCTTTTTAACACCCATCACATTAGTGTGAGCCTGAAGCCCATAAAAAGAACTAAGTGGCTCTTCTGTGGTTGGCAGAAAAGTGCACAGTCACAGCAAGGCACCACCACCAATTACCAGCTGAAAAACAAAAACTTAGATGCAGCAAAGATTTTATTTGGTCCCCTATGGACCATGGTATGGTTAACGGGTTTAAGACACTTGATTAAGTCCTTCTGTGAAGTTTGGTGTTGATGGTGAGTGTTGGGGTTCAGTGACAGATTTGTGCTTCTGATTCAAAGATTCTTTAACCGCTGTTTTATTTTACAGACAAATGAGATATTTTAAAGCTCTGTTAGTCAATGTTTTTTTTTTTTATGTGAACAATAATTCAAATATCTAATGTGAGGGGGGTACAAATAATCACCCAACTTTTTAAGTTCATGCAGCTTTTTAGCCAATTTTTGCTGACTGCTCACTGTGGTTCAGTTTCGCTTGTTTATTTAAACTTTCTGATGTTATTTACACTTTCATTATATTATGTTATATTTTTATTATCAGTCTTATGTTTTAAAAATACAATTATACCAAAATCATTTGATCCTGTTGTGGTGAGGTGTGCCAACCACCATCTACTGTTCAAAATACACTGACTATGGATACGTACATCAAAAAACAGAACCATCCCTTTGAGCTAAACACATAATTAGTGAAAACTACTTGTAAACTTTCCACAGACAGCCTTTAACCACCATCCCTCTATGGTGCTGAATCTAAAATGCTTCCTCACATTATGTCTTAGACAAACAAGATTATACAGAAGCTCATTTCTGCCAATAAAATAAAATAATAAGATGAAAACTCAGCCTTGAGTCAAAGTCAAAGTCAAAATGATGAGATAAAATACAAAAATGATGACAGAAAGTCAAATTGAACTCATTTTAACACACACTTGTTACACACCGGACCTTTAAGGGGCTCTTCTCAAACTTTAAACAGAGGTAGCTTTAGCACAAAGCTACATTGGTGGGTTTAAGGTCAGCGTATGCGTCATATGATGTCGTTTGTCTGACCAGGTCTGAAGGCAAAAGTGTTTATAGCTTTTCCAAATGCCACACTAGGCTGTCATAGGGGCAAAGATGTGATCGGAAATCGTACAAATGGGAATAACAATACACATTTTTTGGATGTATGTAGATAAAAGTGACTTTAGTTATGATAGGAATCCAAAAAGTTCAAACCTTGCTGACTTTAGTTGCTCTCTGACAATGAAAACATGGAGGTGATTGTGTTTCAGACAATGTGTGACAATCTGATAAGCATGCCATTAGTCTTTAGGCTCTGGATATTTTCAGATGTAGGAAAAGGCTGAATATTAAGAGATTGCTTGGTTGGTGATTATTTGTCATTTTGAACCATGACCTGAAGATGTAATGGTGATATTTTACACTGAATTAATGTATTCATGCATTCCCAAAGGGGATATAAAAATCATTCCCTCCATCTATTTCACACTTCTGAACAGAAACAGGTGTTGCTTGTTCCCAGTACTGGGCAAGGTACTCTGTGTGACTATTTCTCAAAACAGTTCCAAAATTAGAGCGGGAAAGGGGTTAAATATAGTTCATGTCATTTTATTTTGGATTTGATGACTCTGTTAAAGAGCACTTTTACTTCTGGGTTGTTAGAGTGGTGTACAGTTGCCCTGGCTGCTGAATACGACCTGAGAAGCAGTAGCTCTGCACATTAGAGCAGTAACAGGAGAACAGATAACTATCTAGATGACGCTACATGTGGAATGAGTGTTCTTGTATCGAGGTTTGGATTTTCAACATTTTGTATCCATTCCAAAACTGCTGCTTTTTTTTCCATTCTTCGCCTCGGGTTAATCATTAGTAAATACCTCAATTTGGTTGCAGAAAATGTCATAAAGAGTGAAACAGGTGGTTTAAAAGACAGCTGGCAAAATGAACCGTTGCTGACCTTTTAAACAGTGTAGTCACATGGTCAAAAGATGATCATCAGTTAATCCTCCCCAATTACTCTGATATGCCCCTTGGGTGCCAAAGGCAGCACGTACAGAGTAGATTCTGCTGCCGCACGCATTTTTTTGGACACAAGCAACTGAGGAAGCACGTGTCCAACAGTGAGAAGTTTCAAACAAGAGTCTGTGCAGGAGCGAGGGGCAAAAAAGCTGAGGGGTGGAGGGTGAAAGGAGGGACAGGGGGTCCTCACTGGCATATATCCCCTTCCCAGAGGCACTTTGCAGAGTGTTGGCCTGCAGCAATGCTGAAGCCATCTGTGGGTTCTCTCAGCAGAGGCCACGTAAAACAAGACGTGCTGTGGTTTGACCTTTCACAGTCCTAACTATAATATTATCATAAGATGAACGATCAGATTGCACTTTTCCCTGCGGTGGGATTCAATGTCCATATGAAAAGGCGATGAGTGAAATACTTGTGTGGCTATATGTTTTCCTGTTTTAGTGTGGTGAAATCATAGTCAGTGTTTCTGTAAAGACAAAACAGGATTTTCTCCAATTAAATGCCTTGTTGAGGTACCACCACCTACTTTTACATCAGACCTATTGGAAATGATTAAGAAATTATATGAATGATTAAAAAAATTGTATGCTTCTTAGCTTTTCTACCTTCTGCCAGTCCGAGTCTAATTCAGGGTATTTCCCCACAGGAAACCTCAAGCAACAGCGTAACCACAATGCTGGTGTAACAGACTAATGTATTTAGGAAGTGGCACCGCTACAAGTTAGCGCAGTGTCAGGGATTTGCTCAACTTTGTGGTTGAAATTACAGTGCAAATCTCTGAAGCATTTAATGCGCCCAGGGATAATATACAACTATCTGTCAATACTAAAGGCCGAGCAGCTGGCACTAATTGAGGGAAAAGAATTATGGTTAGTAGCTGGCACAGTGTACATCTCTGGCTTGGGGCAATACCCATTCCAATGGTGCCACAATGAGGCTTATGGGTAGTAAGATACTCTGGCTTTTGGACAGAAATCAAGTCAGGGAGTTAGATGTCACGCTGCAGGTCGAAGGCTGCTGTTGTTAATCCAGGAAAATGCAAACAATGCGAGAAATCAATTTACAAAACCAAAGCATTAAATATAGAATTAAAACAGTTGTAAAGAGTTTTACTGTGAAACTTTGCAAATATCAGGTAATTATGTGTCCTTTTTTTGGTTTCGTGTGGCCAGCCATTCTTGGTACTACACAAACATTTTGCTGCACATCATTGTTGATTTTTACTGACTGTCATGAGGCTGAAAGAAGAGTTATTTGTTTACTTGACAAATGGCATCAATTTACCATATTTGCACCACCTGTGTGTGACCAAAGCAGTCTTTTCTCAACATCTGCAACATCATTTCTGTCAAATTTGAGACATGCAAAACTCAGAGGGTAAAAGAAAAGCTTTAAGAGCTCTGTGGAAAGGTTTGGTTATTTCAATGCCATCACACTAAATTTACTCTAAGTATCAAACGTTAAAGTACTCATTGTGCAGTATAATGTTCCCTGTCAGTGTTTCACTATGATATACGATGTTTTTGGATTATTATTGCTGCAGTAATGTTTATGTTGCATTTTACTGCCGTAGTTGTTTAAGGTTGAGCTCATTTTAACGACTTTTATATACTGTCGGTTAGTTTAATCTACAGCAATGCATCATATTCTATAAGATCATCATATCCTGTGAGAACCACGTATCTCTAAAGAGTTCTCTTGAGCTCAGAAAAACAGCCTTTCAGCTTTGTGACGATGCATTTTCCAGCTAATCCAAGAGGATTTTATGATTATTTATTTATTGTAAGAAGTAGGAGAATTTTCTCAGCTCTTATAGGAACACTTGAGTTTATCACAAACATTCGCAAATCACTAAATCAGGTGCAGACTGGCCCGTACACAGGTTGTAGGATTGCACTGGGAAACAGAAAATATTCATTTTAATGAATTGCTTGGAGCAATTAGCCAATTATGAACAATTCATTTTAAAACTGAACAGACAGAAGGTATTTTTTAAAACATGGTGCCCCTACATGAACACAATATTATATGTTTAACTGGGGATACTTGCCCTGGTTGTCACTATCATTTTAATATAGGAGTGATAATTATTATTACAATGTACATTATTGTCACAATGGTACGTGAGTGATAGTAACATGATAATAGCAGTGTTTACCCTGTGTATATGTATTGTTTATTTTTCAATTGTTATTGCTACTTTTCTGTCTATGTCTTTGTTCTCTATGTTAATTCTGAAAAGAATCACCAAATTTGGAGATACATGGATTTTACTGGAGAGGAAGTTTATGAAAAATTCTGAAAAGTAACTAATATACCTGAATAAACAATTGCTGATGAATTAAAGTTGTCAGACAGATGCAGTGGAGTAAAAAAGTAGTGTTTGCCTCTGAGATGAGCTTACATATTTATAAGGTTCACAAAATGAGTCACATGCTTTATCAAAGAAAAAATAAATTTATTTTTATGTTTTGTTTGTATCTTACATTGAGAATAATCATCTGCATTACAATGAGACAGCTGTTCCACAGATATTGCACTGCTGTGATTCATTAAGGAGTCCTACAGCTCTAAGGGCCTCAGCAGAGCTGCAGCTTCCTGATCTGTGGAAGGGATGTCAGATAGGTGCTGGAGAAATGGCCGTCCATGGATGCAGGTATGACTTCCCTCACCAAACTGCTGCTCCATCCGGTGAAGGGTTTCCTCCACATCTTCCCTGGATAAATTTGAAGGCAACTGACGGGCAAGTCGCACCGCTTCACCCTGAGAGGGAAAAATCAGATTTATATTTAATTTAACAAAACAAACAAAAATCTACAGAATGCCATGCTTTAATTTCAATTCCTAGCATCTCTCACTTGTAGGTAGTTTGTGACTTTAAGTGGCCGGCACTCTTGCACGGTCCTAGCTTTTCTGTGAAGAACTGCAGTCAGGATCTCCCTGAGGTCCTCCACACCGAGGAAAGGCACGCAGTCTGCCATTGCTGTCACTTCCAGATGTCTCTCGGCTGACGGGAGGCCTGGCCAAAACAAGCAGAAAACAAGGATTAATATACTCCAGACGCTACTACTATCTCCAGGAAAGAATAATAAATAAATATTGTGGTTTACGGCTGGACTCATGACCAAGTCAAACAAGCGAAGGGCCAAATGGAGTGTTAAATGACTAATAGAAGCCCCAGCAGACTGGAAGGAAGTTGTCTTGTAGGGTGGAAGAATGATAGCTTCTCATTTCATGAGGAAATACTGCAAATCATGCACAATTTATATTTCTGATGAACCTGGAGAAGTAGAGACAGTTATAAAATTTCTTAAAAATGTATGTGGTGGTTGTGTTACCTGTGCAAGACTGCAAAGTCCAGTACATTTATAAAATATAACAAATGTCCTTATTGTAATAAAATCATATTCTTTTTTACATTTTATAATAGTATCTGCCGAATCACATTATACACAAGAAAATAAACAACTCACATTTTAAAATAATCCTAACGAAAGCAGAAGATATTCAGCAGAGATTGTGCAATGAAAACATCTTATATACGCCGCTACCTTCAGTCGCACGCACACCCACCGAGGCTGGCAGTGCCAAATGAAAATTCCTGGAATTTCTTAAAGGGCAACCATTCTCATCACCTGCACACTGGGGTACAAACCCACTGTGAGACCACTCTGTCGGGCAGAGAGCCAATGTCAACTGAGGTGAACTATTCCAGCAACAAAAACAACCAACACTCACAGGACACTGAATACTTTGAAAGCGAACGGAGGAATAATGTCACAATGATGATGAAGAAGCTGGCAGAAAAAAAAAAGTTTAATTGTGGGAGTCATTTTTACATTATGTTTATTTTACATTATGTTGACTTTATTTTTTTATGGTAAAACCACGAGCAAGTTAAACTACACTGATATATACTGTAATTGTCAATCTGTCAGTCTAGACTTATCAATATTAGCTATATATAACCACAGTCTCTTTGATCTCCCTAAAAGAAAATACACTTTATGAGAAAAGGTCATTTTTTTATACACAAAACACATTTTTGGATAAATTATTTGTATATCTTTAGTTTGCAGGAACCAAATTATTGGTTAATATGATTAATGTGTTAATTGTCAAATATGGGCTTATTTCAAAGATAACTTTACTTCTTGTACGTGTGTGAATAAAGGTGCTGTGTTCATTTACATATACTGTATTATTAAGTTGTCATAACATGTTGAAGTTATTATTAAACTTTTCATGATCCATCATGAAAGAAAAAACAATATATATTATATATATATAATATAGATATATTCTAATATATCAGTTCTCTTATGATTTACAGCTTCTCTATTTTATCATTCATTGTTTTTCATGACAAATTTGTTGAAGGAAGGAGAATATTTTGTCTTATCCACAACTAATCCGATACAAAGAAACTCCATCAGAAATAATTGCCTGTAATCCAGTTACTCGGGACTGTAAGTTTGACATTTCTGGTGAACTATGACATTAATGATGGCAAATGGCACCAACATTCGTTAAATAAAACTAAACAATCCATGAGACCTTTAAACAGCGTGACTCACAAAATAAGAAAGCTTCTTTTCTGATTGATTGGGTGTGTTGTAGACTTCTGTTGTAGTATTGTTCCTAACTGTTAGTAGTATTTTGTGATCAGGTTCAGAAGGAAAGTGCCAAATGGTTGGCAAATTTCATATATATATATATATATATATATATATATATAGATATAATCATATTAGACTGCCTCGTACAACAATGTTACGAAATCTTATTGACAATGTACCTGGAGTGAGTTGGATTTTAAACCCATTTGCCACAAGCCTGGGATCAGAGAAGAAGGCCCCTCCGTTTAGCTCAGGTCTTTGTTTCTCCATGTTGCACAAAGCCTCAGTATATTCAGCTCCCCCTAGACTTCTATAAAAGAGAGACAAGGAGGACGTTTAACATACAACAGTAGTGTATTTTCAGACATTACATAAGCATATGTATGTAAAGAAATTGGATGAGTGTGCAGTTTTCCACAAGGAAAACAACTGTCAGGGTTCACATTCTGCTGGTGAGAAGTGAGTGATACGTTACCCATCTGTTAACTGTATAGGGTTCTGCAGACTCACTGCTGGAAGTATATTATTCTCTAGAAGTCTCTTAAACAGCAAGGCTTCCTCCACTCGAAATGGGTTTAACAACATGAGCCTCTGACCACATAAAATGACCCAGGCGCTCTGAGAGGCCAGCCGGTTTACAAGACGGAGGCCCCGTGGCACTGCGCTGCTCTGGGATGAAAGGCGCTGAAGCTGCAGCCGAAGGGCAGCCACGCTGCAGGGGAGGGGCTGCGTGGGCTTCGGTGCAGGGCTCCTACTCTTCTTTTGGGGCTGTGCAGAGAAGAGCTCGTTCAGCAGCTTCTGGTTGGACAGCGGGGCCTTGCGTTTCTGGCCCTGTGCGTGGCCCCTTGGCGTGCTTATGCTCGTCTCTCTGGGGCCTTCAGCAGAGGCCAACTTGGTCCTTTGGTCGTGGTGTTCCAGGTGTTTTTTTGCCTTCTCCTCATACCTGCAGAGTTCAACCAAGTCTTTTAGACTTATAACAACAGTGATAATGCTCTGTTATCTGTTCCATCAAGTTGCCATCCCAGCATGCACTGATTTGGTGATTTGTAGGACAAGAAGGCTAAATTAAAGGGGCACTCCAACAGTTTCACACCTGAAGTTCAGTTTACTCGTCACGTTGATCGGTAAAGTTGATCCAATACCACATCATTTATTTTATATATATATATATATTTAACCCAGGATAGTGAAGTCATGACCCCCCCTCCTCTGACTCTGACAAAGGGTTCAATCTCAGCCAAGCCAACACGTACCGGATCGGTACTATCTTGTTAACACTATATCTAAAATGCGACGCCACAGCTTTTGGGCATGATGCCACTAGTTTTATTTTATTTGGCGGCAGCACTTTTACAGCACTTGTTTCCACCCAGAAGGGATGCGTGGTATGTATTCAAGATCTTCTTACACTTCTACACTCATAGTAGCCACTGAAAACTGTGAAACAACAGTATTATGTAACCTGTTGATAACTTCCATGTATGTTTTATTTCTTCTGTGTAGCACAGCTGCTAAGCTGCCATCTGTTGTTGTCTACTAAAAACACATAACGGTGTGATCTAAAATAAGAATTAAGATACTGAGCGCCACCTTATTCCCACTGTACATGCAGAGAACATGTTGAGAGTTTGATATATATATAGGGTGCTTTCCTCAGCAAAACAGTTATTTGCCGACTCATGTTTCCATAGATCTTCATGTGTTAAGCATTAGGGCTTACACTTCAGCACCCCATTATTCAAATAACCTGCTTCGTGAACTTGTGTAAGTGCAATTCCTAGAAGTGGTGTGCCACTTAACAGTGGCAGTGAAAGGAGCCAAGTCCTTGCCACATCTTATTTCATGTTTAAGACAGGCAGGATTCTAAACAGATGTCTTTTTCCATACACTCTTCCATACCTTATATAAGGCCCTGAGTACTGCTGATACACATTTTCCAACTTTGCAATTACTTTAAATTGGTATGCAGTAATCTAACATAATTGGGTTGAAGTGCCTTCAGCGCAGTATAATGGTGTTATTCCATGCTACTACCGGAGTAGCTCAGTGGAAGGAGATCAGTAGGTAGCACAGTTTGTACTTTCTATTACTGACGTGTCCATGTGCATCTGGATCATTTTAGAAGTTACTAATGACTGTGTGACAAGATAATTGGATTTGATACAATGAAACTGACCGAAAAAGTTAAGAGTTTCTCGTGGCCTGAGCATTGTGCTGTGGTACCTGAAGTTAGCACCATTTTATAAATGTTTTCTGCTCATCAGATATTAGACTTGAGTCAAAAGTAAATACACATCTTGAATGTGGCGAGTGATGCTCTATTTTTTTTTTCAATTGTTTGTTTGTTTTTCAAATGGCTGTCTTACATTCATTAATGTAAATCCTTTGACTCTGAGGGAACAGGGGTCACAACACAAACACTCATTACCTCCATGTGTTCTGCGCCAAGTCTGTTCTTGACTAGCCAACTATGTGTCACTGCTCATGCCACTTGTGGAGTAAGTGTAGGTGAGATTTTAAATGGACAAAGAGACTTGTGTGAACAGACAGAAACATTTAGAAAATAAATTCATGTTCGGATTTCTAATTAAAAATTAAAGGGAAGTATTGAGTTCATATTGGGTAATGTCTCTTAAATCTTGTCCTAGTGTCACTATAAATGCCAATGTTTAGGGACTGTTGGAAGTATTGGAAATAAGAGATCTCAGTGGGGTTTAATGTTGAATAAGTGTCAAGTGAGACGTGAGTTCTGTGGATAGATGGCATACTTTTTTTAAATACAGGACATTTCGCCATTAGTGATACCTGTTGTACTGCGGGAAAAGTAATCAACCCAAGTCCCTATTAGACACAGTTGTCTGGAAATTAGAAACACAGCTCATATCAACAAAATTTCCAGACTAGGCTTTTTTCACATGCGAATGACAGGTCAGACTTTCCCCCCTCTCTCTGCCTTGCAAATAACAAGAAATGGAAACAACTGCTTGGAAAGGTGAAGGTCTGGAAACTCACTTCTTACGGTCTTCCTCCCTCAGATTTTTCCACCTCTCGTGAACGGTGACGCTGATATCCTGCAGGCTGGCTGTGGGTTTCTCCCTGAGGACCTCCGCTCTGACCTCCTTCTCGAACAGGGCGGCAGGAGACAGCGGTGCCCTCATGGCGCGGTTGCTGATCAGGTCGAAGGCCGTCAGAGCGGCCCTCTTCTCCGTTATGGCGTTGAACATCTTTTTGTTTGAGCTGCTCGGACTCTTGATCTCAACTGAGTCAGACTGGTTGCTCTTTGAGGGTTGATGGATTTTGACGGGCTGCAGGGGTTCTCGTGATACGGGGTCGGTCAACGCTGTCCCGCGGCTCCAGTCCTCCGCTGATAACTGGTCTGGGTTTGTGTCTGCACCTGACACGGCATTGTCCTCGAGTCTCTCAGGAGACTTGCTTGCTGAACTTGTTTCTGCTGTCTGAGTGCAGCTCTGATCATCATAGAGAGAAAAGTTACACTCAAGGCCGCCTGGGATCTGGTTGACAATCCAGTCCTCTGCTATAGAGGATGAAGAGCTGTTGTTTGAGGTCGGGTCTAGTAATGCACCGGTGCTTATTGCTGTGTCACCATGTTTCTGTGCCTCTTTGAGGAAGTTACCATTGTAGTTGGTGAGACTGTCATCCCTCTCTAGACTTTGTTCTTTTTCCGGTGGTGAAGCATCAGTCTGCAAAGGACTAGACGTGGGACGAGACGAGGGAGATGTCTCATGGCCAAGCTCCTTCTCAGCTGGAGGGTCACCACTAGCTCGATAGCCATAGAGGGACACCAGAAATGCTTCTACTGCGGTCAGCACAGCCTCCTAAATTTCAGACAGAGCGCAGATTGTAAAAAAAAAAAAAACCTCTTACGCAGAATTTAATTTTCGCTCACATCTGGAAGGCTAGGGTTTTGGTTTATTCCTCCAATGTAGAGCATGGCTGAACATACACTACATATTCAACTGATTGTGACAATAACAACAATTTCATAGCTACCTTGTCATGAAGAAGAATCTGTGTCTTGTCCGGCGTCAGATTGACGTCGACTGAAGAGGGTGAAACTGTAACTTTAAGCATGAGGATGGGATAGCGGTTTCGGGATGGCTCATCCGGATACTGAGCAGTGTAGTGTTGACGCAACAACTGATGATCAATCCCACAAACCACCCAGGATAAAGTTTGCATGTAAACATGAAATAATAGAACGTTAATAGTTATTATTATTCATTGTATAAACTCTGATGTATTCAGTTATTCAAACTGACCTTACCTTCAAAATGTCTTTGTGGTGGACCGGCCGGTTGTTGACAAATATAAAGGTTTTGTCCGGGTTAGATGAGCTTGTAGAAGAGAAATCTGCACCAGGCTTTGGGAAAAAGCCCTCTAAAACAATCTGAATAAAATAAAAAATAATGATAATATTAATCATCCAACACAAGATAAGCACAAAGTAGGTGTCATACATTAACTTGCCGGAAAAAATACCATCAGAAAAATATCCCACTACACAACAATGGTTGTACTAAAGAGAAGAATTTGGCTGGGAGGCTTCTGAAACGAGACATTCATGCTTTTGCAAACATTTTTAAATTGACATGGTCAGCAGCTGGCTGGCGCAGGGGCGTAACAGTGTAACGACTAGCTTTGAAACATGGACATTACATAAACGCTACCATCATTACATTTTAAATTAGGATGGCACAGTTGATGCATTCCACTGACAGCACAGCTGCACAGCTGGGAAGGAAGCCATTAATTCTGCTTGTGCACAAGCAAACAAGCACCGGTCACAGCATACCGTGCATACACTGCCACAGCATAATGAGGAGTAAAGTTTACTCCACTCTTTTCATTAACTGCTCTACATTTTTGTCTAAATATCAAACTTCTTTTCACTGTAAAGTTGCAAACAATCATGAAAGACTTTGTTCAAAGAGTTCTCAACATGCAGGCTCCACTGTGAACATGCCCAACCAGCCAGTGTTATTAAATTGTGCATCATACATGATGACCTTTCCCCTAGAATCACGCCAGAGGCAGTTCTCATGAGCTAAAATTGATGACTCAACATATTGCACTTCATTATGAATGTGAGCTTGTAAGAAATTATGGAAAGCTATTAATGTTCTACAGATTGCAAGCGGAATAGCTATGCTTTTTTTCCACATGGCCTAGGGCTCATTATTAGCAGCAACGCACGCCAATGAAGTTAATAAATGAACTGCTGTTTCAGGTAGGGGCACATATGCTTCTCTCTATTTCTGCTCATTAGGGTCACTTTATGAGAGCACGAATGGCACCTCTGGCCCCAAAGGGCCGCAGCTATTTGTAGTCATGCTGCCAAAAACGAGTGTCACATTTTGTTCTGCAGAGGAATAGCTCGTACAACGCTCCCCGAGCGAGGCCCCGGTGAAATTGTCAACCTGGTTCCCTTGATCACTAAGCTTTGGTCTTGGGGACAAAGAGGAGAAAAGTTCTCTTTCATTGCTACAGGGAGTCAGAGGAAAAGGTGAAAGGTCGTTCTCATAACTGGGCACCAAAGTGCAGCAGCAAAATAACAACAACAAAGAGAAAAATGAGAGAGAAACGGGGTGAAAAGGGCTGCTCCATATCTGTCGGACTAGATTAGTTGGGAGCCTTGCAGCAGGTAAGAGCCACATGACACCTACCGTGACCAAGCAGAAAGTTACCGCTCGACAGTAATTCAATTACGATCAGCACAGCAAAGCTTAGCTAACAAAAAAAGCACTCACTCTTCATCAGGAAAGAACTCAAGAGAAAAGGGCAAGAGAGTAGTTGGCCAGCCACCAACTGACCACATTTGCTGGCTTCAGACCAGCCGTTCATGATGAGGTTATTAGCTCACGGTCGAGTATAACGTGCATGCTCTCATTTGCTCTGCAAAAAGTATCCATCTTAACTAGGCATTTAATGTAATATTGACAGTTCAAATTAGACTGTTATTTATTCTAAGTTATTCCAAACTTGCTTCTGAGTTCTTTCCTTTTCTATTATTACGTTTTTAGCACTAGCGTCATACAACAAACATTCCTGAAACAAGAACAGTTTTTACTATTATTTCAACCACACGTCACAAGATTTGATTTGATTTTTGCCTAAAAACAAGAGACTAAATGCCATTTTAAGACACACTTGTTGATGGACAATGAGCTTTATTATGAGGGCAAGTATGTGTCTTATGAAGCTGCCATAATGGCTCCACAATGAAGGGCAAAGGGGCATGGGAGCCACAGTATGAGAGCAAAGAGTGCAAGGTGTGTGCACGAGGTGGGAGGGTAGGCGCATAGCGTGGCTGTGCCAGCTCAGCCGTGCTATGTGCCTCTGACGCTCATCCATCAAAGAGCAATGCAATCCATGCAGTCGCTTCACATTCATCACTTGTTACAATGTTCAAAGGTGACTTTGGCAAGCTGAGCAATGATCCATGTGAAACAATAAAAAGAACGGTTGACCATGAAACCAGAAACCTATAAACGTGAGCCCTACATACTGTGATATTATACAACGTAGCTGGTTCATACAGCGTCATACAGAGTCATATTCAAGCACTTTTAAGGTACTTAAAGCGAACTTGAAGCCTTTATCATCAATGTGAATGTCTTGAATTTCCTTCGGGATAAATAAAGTACCTATCTATCTATCTATCTATCTATCTATCTATCTATCTATCTATCTATCTAATGAAACTGCAAAAAATAAAGTTTACAGAATTCAACATATCACTTTGTTTATTTTACCATGTGTTCATATTAGCTCTGATTGTCTGTTTTCCAGAGTAAGGGATCAACAGATGACTTTGGGCTATGAATGATAAGTGAACACACCAGGAGACAACATACACATAAAAACGATGAGATTGTTTCATTTCAACTATTAAAAGATTTTTGGTTTACATGAGTGATTGTGGAGATAAAACACAGAAGATTTTGTTGAAAATCAAGCTTTTTTCAAGGAGTTTACTCCAATTCAAGCATATTACTAACCTCGAAAACATTTAAAATTAAGCATTTTCTAAACCTTCAAGGCTTTGTACGAACCCTGTGAAAATGTTACATGATTTATTCACTAAAGCATAGACATGCATTTGTGCCAGCGGTAATTAATGGGTATTAAAACCTGAAGAAAACTGCGACAAACAAACAGAGGTGTCTAAAAGTCATGATTTTATAGAATTGCTCCATTTCTCTCTCATCTCTGCATTTTTCCCCTTAACTAACCTCTGGTTGCTCTTGGTGATGGAGGCAAGGGAGCAGGTTGGCAACGGCACTGAGCCCCAGCGTAGCAATGAGGGCACTTCTGTGATCGGCCACCTTGGCCTTCTGCCAAACCACCACCTGCAACAATATGACACCAGTCAACTTCCATGAGTCCACATCAGGCAAATCACACTGCATAAACACCTGTCAAGATAGCAACTGGGCCACGAAGGCGCCAATGTATCTGGAGTTCATACATTTTGTTTCCGTCAAGAGATTCAGACAGAGAGAGTTTTAATGTTCAAAACAGCTATAATTGTCTATGTCAAACTATAGGGCAGAGAACATAAAAGATACAGAAGAGTAGTTGGTGTGAAAATAAAAAATAACAGTAAAAAACGCTCTCTTAAATCAACAAGAACTGTAATGCTAAAGGCATTATTTCAAGTTCAAGCCTAGGATGCTACATGCAACAACTACGTATATAATATATTGCTGTGAAAGTAGTCTGAAAATAATATTAAATCTGAGCAACTCTGCATTTACAACACTGGCTATTAGTTTTTATTATGTTTTTGTCAACAAATTATGGTACATTTAAAGGACATTTAGCAACTTAAATCATGCTTATTTTCCTCATAATTAATTTAAATCATTTTTAGGATTATGTCAGATCAGAAAATATTTTGACACCTGCTTGTAGTTTGTGTCCACCAGTGAATATATATCTCCCGGGTGTTGATTTCTAAAAGCATGCACTCCGTTGCAGGGCATGTCTCAGCTATTAAATACGTAATTTGGAACATGTAAACGGATCACTCCTGTAAACAGTTCTTGAAGAAGCTGTGAAACACGACACAGGGCGAATAGCAGAGTTGGAGATAAAGGATAGGGGCAACTGAGTGCTGATTGTACAAAATGGGTTCACTACCCTCCCCTGACAACCTCAATTTCTATGAAAGTTATATGGTGGTCGTGTGGCCCCTCCGTGACCCACACCACCTATACACTCCTGTGTACAAACTGGCTGCAGCCTGAAACTGAATCTGGGGTTAAGTCCGCAGCTGTGTTCAGCAACTTACTCAGGCGTCATAATCAGCCAAATCAGAGTTCACAGTCAGCCATATTTGTGTTTGGGGCACCTGACAGTTAGCTGTGGTGGGAAAGGGCATAAGGGATGGAAATGTCTAATTGCTAAATAATTCCACTGCTGATTAATCTAATGTTATGTAATGGAACAATCCAAAATAACTGGCTTTTTTTTTTTTTTTATTGTGCACACCAGAAGTACGCAACCCTGTACAGCCCAGGGGACAGGTGATAAAATGTAAGAAAACTGGTCTAAAACCACAATTATTGTTATACTGAGTGTTTTATTCATACCAAAAACATGCAACCTCAATATAACTGTGAAGATAATTAATTGATTTTTAAGTAGATAAATGATGGGGAATCTTTTTTTAAAGTTGAGTCCATAAAATTGGACATTGTGGAATATGATGCATTGCTTTGGTATGTGTGTTGGTTATATTTAGTTGAGCTTCTATTGTCAAATACCTCACCCAACAATAAAGCAGTTATTTGACTGTTTCCATTTGCTAATGGGCATTAACACTCCTCGAGAGCAGTTTACGCATGTCCTTGCAGACGCTCTAAATGCAAACTGTCAAAACTGTTAAAAGAGTCACATTTTTTAACGATGGAAGGGAAAATAGTGACTATAATTACTAATAATTACCACTAATTATTTATTTGTGGAGTGAAGGTGACGGGTTGTAATGATACACAAGCATGACTGCAGACACGTGAAAGTGCTCTGCCACAAGTCAGACAATATATTTGTTTGTAGACAATATATTTTAGATTTAGTGTAATCTACTGTACACACTCTTTTTTTTCCCCTTCATTTTTCTAAAAGATGCTCGCTGAATCACAGTGTTTTCTTCACAGTATTTGTGTTTTTCCTCCAAATAGAGCTCTGTGTCCTTCTTTCTGCCAGACATTCACAGCTTACAGTGTTACTGCAGCAGGTACGCAGCCCTCTCCATCCCTTTACATTTATATAATATCATTACATGTTGATACACACTTCAATGTCACTGCAGCAATTAGCCCCCTTTATACATTATCCTAGAGGTTAACATACTTTATCCTTAAGTGCCCATAATAAATACTAGTGCAGAAATAATAAGTGGATTGATAAATCAGTCGATTTCTAACAACAATTTACAATTAATTAAGTCTTTAATCACATAAAAGTGCTAAACATTCTCTACTTCCAGCTTCTCCACTGTGAGGATTTGCTGCTTTCCTCCGTTTTATATCATCGTTACTTTAATATTTGGGTTTTGGAATATGAGTCGGACGGCTGTTTGTAGATGTCAGGTTGGGCTCTGGGACACAGGGATGGGGAACGATGACTAGAAACAATAATCAACAGACTGGACTAATCAGAAATGAAAGTAATTGTTAGTTGCAGCCATGAGAGTAAGAGTGTTGAAATCTTTAAAAGTGAATTCAAAACCTACCTCTTCAGCCTGACTATGAACTAAGAATGGTTGAGGAGACATTATTTACCTTATTTTATTCACTTATTTTATTTTATCAATTGTATTTGTTTTTATTTAGTTTTTTCTTCTTAAATCAGTTTTATCTAGTTTCTACTATAGCTTTTATTAAACACCACATATTTCCATTACTGTTAAATCATTTATTTTGTATTTATTGTTATGTTATTTTTAGGTTTGTATTGTATTTTTAAATGATCTTATCTAGTTTTTATTACTCTCTATTACAGTTCACACTCATTAAAATAAATGTTAAATTATAACTGTGTTCAGGTAAGGTTGTATGTCAGAGTTTAAAAGCTACATCAAATGTTTTTTAATTAGATTAAAAGTCTGATGAATGCCCACCTTCACAATTAGCTATTTTTAGTTCTGTGCATCCAAAAGCAACTCCATTAAAGTGACTAATGTGTGGATTTAAAGCTATTTCTTTCTTAAACACATGCACACTAATTAAAACAGTCCTCCAACTTCTGATTTATCCTCAGTAGCTACAGATACATTCTGTTGTATGCATGTGACATGTTTTTTAAAAAAAGTTAATGGACAGATTCACTAACCTGCACAGAAGCCTCCTTCTATCAGGTCAGTCAGTCTGTCCTTGCTTGGCTCGATAAAAGATTTAGTCTGTGTGTTTCTAAAAGTGCTTCTGCAAGCCAAAATGAATATTTTCCATCACACGTAACGATTTCATAACTCACTGAGTCACATTAGCACTGACAACAAAACAACAGGAGGCTGGAGACAATTACTGTCTTCAAGGAGGTGTTTGATTAATTATTTATCTGACAACCTCCTGAATATCCTTCTGTAACTTTCTGTTTAAGGCCTTTCTTATGTTTGACAGAAAATACTCTCTACTGTCAAACAAGGCTGTGCACACTTCATAGCCGTAAACTCAGGAGACGATACACTTTTACAATATTTCACAATATTAAATTAGTGAATTTAAACAGGTAAACTGGATGGATTAGTATGGCAGAGTGGGATTATCTAGACCTTCTGTATGTTTCCCTCCTTCCATTTGTCTTGTTGTTATTAATGTTTTTTCATTACTGATTGAATGGCTCCGTATAAGTGTTAAACTGAGTTGTATGTTCAGTAAAATTTTAAAACAAAAAAAGCAGTGCATTAAATGTCCAAATGTCTTGTTGTTTGTTATGCAACACTAATCTCTCTATGCAGACTATTTCATCTATATTTCATTTTCCTCCTCGTACTTGTCGTTGTCTTTATACATTATTCTGCTCTTGGAGGCAATTCTTTTAGAGAAAGTGCTATTAAAATAACATGTATTATTAGTAGTCACAGCAGTACCTCCTGATGTAGTAGGAGTAGTATTAAAATGTTGAGGACCAATAAATTCAAGTGTTCACTTTTCCCTTCTAAGATCTAAATCAAGTTCCTATGTGTGTATCCACTACTCTTACATAGTATGTAATCGTGCATGAGATCTCAGTGCTTTTGTTCATGTCAAATATTGTCAATTAGGGCTGCCACACATATAACACTATTCCACAGTTACATGGCATTTCAACAAAAGCTGAAGGTGATTTTGAGTCAGTGATGTAGGGACAGTCATTTGAAGGCTAATGAGGACACCTAGTGGCTGCTGTGTGCGGAGGATTTCATACTGCATGAGCTGGGATTTAAGTCACTTTCAATGGCTGTACCATTAAAACCTCAATGTTTTCCCACGAGTTCGGATCAGTTATAGGGAGGGTAAAAGTCATCAGGATTGTTTTTCTTTACCAAGTTAAATCTAAAAAGAGAAGAGGAGTTACTGACCTTATTGTGAATGAGCGTGAGCCTCAGGTCAGGTTTTATAATTGCGTAGGCCATCAGCAGGTCCTGCACTTTCTTTAGTTCCTCCTTGCACTTCTTGATAGAGGAATAGTACTGACGTCTCACTGGAAGATTCTTGAAAAGTTTCAGCACGCTCACTGTTGTGCCTGTCAAACACAAGGAGCAAAAGTGTTTGATGTAAAATGTACAAGGACTCAGGAAGACTAATAAACTAAAGGCTAAAGAGTACTAAAGAACAACAATGGTGGAAATATAGCACACATGAACATAGCAGCAGACAATATAGGTAATTTATACTGAAAAACAAGAGCAAAAAAGATAAAACAAACAAAGAGACAATCATGTAAACAGATGAGGAGCAAGGTAAGAGACATTAAAAAAGGGCAGAGATACAAATTAAAACCATTTTCTAGCCCCTCTATTCATTTTTTCCATAGATTTAAAGTAGTTGGCAAAGTTACATCCTTTCCACCTACAAGTATGTATGTAGTATTTACCCCAAATAATCACGAGATTAACAGTATGTGAAATGTTTGCATCCAAGTTGTCCATAAAATAAACTCATCAAGAATTTTTACTAAATCCCTTTAAAGACATGTTATTATTAGTTTATGTTTCAGGCCCAATTCTCTTACTGCCTTTTGGGATGTGACTCATTAAGCATGCATTGCATCTCTTTTCCCCTCATGACTACATTTTTTCCATTGAGCATCATATGTCTTTCAACTGTTTTTCCATTATATTAATCAACAGTATAATCCAATCCTGGAATAAATTAGTAACTTCATGTTCATAGAGCAGGAGATAATGTGACTGCTGGTGGAGCCAAACATTATGTAATGATCCAAACATGGCAATACATTTCCAGGTCAGCAGTATAAAACCTATAAACAGAGAGCCTGTTTACACCTGGCATTAAATTACCACTTGTGATAAGATCTCACTCCCACTCTATATGCAAATAAACATGCACATCATTCCCGTTTGCAAAGACGAAATATGTTTTTAACTGGTAGCAACAGTAGTAGCCAACACACCGGGACAAACAGAAAAGGGTTTTTTTTACACAGAAAGAAATAACTTAATGTATAAAGTCTGCCGAATTTATTAAAAAGGCCCAAATAATTAAGAACATTCATCAAAGTTTATAACATTGCTCCTGTTTCCATAGAAACCGTGCTGCTTATCTCAGCAGGTAAGAGAGGCCACATCATTTGAATTAAATTTAACCAAACAGACAGCGTGTTTCTGTTGAGGAGGAGTAGGCCTTCAATGTGTCCCAGGATGCATTAGCGCTCACGCCACAATGCATCTTGGTAGTTGTTTACACTTGTATTTAGAGCTACCCACTTGTGATGTTAGTACCAAGTGTAAACAAGCTCAGAGTGTTTGCAATGTCTTCTTGGTGCCTTACCTTGACCTAAGTGAGACGGCTTCTGAGAAACAATCGCCCCCGTGGCGTTAAGCGTGTACTGGGTGCTGATGTCATCCTCCTCTGTCTTGGTGATGACAGCCACCTAAAGGCAAACAGCACAACAAGACATCAGGTTGCCAACTATCCCAGTATATATATATAAATCAAACATCCTTGCTATGTAAAATATAAAAAATGTATGTATGAGTCATTGTTTTCTTTTTCATGAGCTGTGTTATCAGTTCAGTGCACGTATACAACTTATAGATCCACTTTTATAGCTTATTAACCAACAGTTTATAAATACTTCTCACCTCGGCGACGGCGCAGACGGAGCCCAGTGCCTCTCCCCGGAAGCCGTACGTCTCCAGACGCTCCAGGTCCTCGTGGCAACAGATCTTGGAGGTGAAATGTCTCACGGCCATCACGGAAGCATCTTCGGCTCGGATTCCACAGCCGTTGTCACGCACCTCTATCCGGTCCAAACCGTAGTTCTCCTGCAATGTGACATTCAATTACATACTGTGGACAGGAGCTGGAATCTAAACTAGTACTGTGAGTTGTGAAAGTTTAAATAGTGATTAAAGCACAGTTTTACCTGCATAAAAAATATAGTTTTTCTCTATGAATATCTTTAGAGCAATGTGTTGTTCATTTTACTAACTGCGTTACCCAGTACAACAACTTCTGCACAACTTCTTGTTACACTCTCGGTCAGTTTCAGTAAATCACTTGAAGCTTTGTATCATTACAATGTGGGTGGTATATGCAAAAGAACAATGTTTACTCTCCCTCTGTGTTGCGTGCACCCACTGATCCCTGCTCATTTGCCTCTCTTGATCCGACTGTCTGTGGAGGTGGGCAAATGAGAAGGGATCAGTGGGTGCACGCAACACAGAGGGAAGCTGAACATTGTTTATTTGCATATACTACCCATATTGTAATGGTACAAAGCTGATAACATCAAAGTTTCCCTTTACCAATAGTTATAATGTCCTGAGACGCACAAAAATAAGTGTATGCACCTTTCTGACTAAAGCCAACTAATGTTATCCATATTATTTTTAGCTGTATTTAAATAAACAAAGCAACAGATTAGTCCACTTATCATTCATCGTCATAATCAATCATATCTCTCGGACGCTGTACCAGTTTAATGTCAATGCTTGAAGCCCCAGCGTCCAGGGAATTCTCCATCAGTTCTTTCACAACGTTCACCACAGACGTGATGACCTGGGAGCTGGACAGCAGCCGCACCGTATCTGGAGGCAGCTGCTTCATGATTTAAGATACCTGTTGAGGAAAAAGTCTGGTTTTCAATTATGGCTGCAGGATATGGTAAAAAAAAATATCATATTGCGATTACTTTGACAGATATGATTCGTGATTAGTGTGGGAATTAACATTTTAGATTTTTTTTCTGATAAAACTATTAAATTATTGACCTTTTTGGAGGTCTGTACCAAACAAATATGTTTTCTGGAAATCCCTAGAGCAAGATTAGTAGGCCAGAGCATCTCTTCAGCACCACAGTAGTTTCATTTTCTCACACATTTTACTTTTATCATATAAAACTGCAGCTTCTATTATTATAAATGTCTTTATTATTACATAAGTGTGTCCTCAACAGCTTGTACAGAGGTGAGCTACATTACAAATACAGTTCAATGTCCATCTGCATTAACCCATTTGCGTCCAAATACTATATTTCATATGATAAGGAAAAATGCCATAACATTTGTTCTGGTTGGTCTAACGTCTTGAAACATGGTACCAGCATACTTTGGCAAATTATCTTACAGCACAACTTTGAATTTTTTAGATAACATAAAAAAATCACACTTTTATTAATGGTCAAAGTCGTAACTCTTAAACCTCAGATCTTATCTTTTTTAGAAATAAGAGCTTCCAGTTAACATGACGCATACAAACCAGTGTTAAGATTGTAAATGCAGCCCATTAAAGATTATTGATTATCAATTCACAACTGCAGTTAGTAAGAATAATGGTGTATTGTCTCCATAATGCAACCTGATTAAACCCCCACCTGTTTAGGTTATAGTAGATTTGCAGCCAGGTGTCAGCTCTCAGGACACAGTTTATTCAGAAACAACTTCACATAATAGAGAAACCTCATGTCAAAGCGAACACCTGAATAAAATAGTAAAAAAAAAAAAAAGGTGTTTTACAGTAAGTTACATTTACAAATGGGAGCTAACGCGTTAGCAGTTAGCTCCCAATAAAACCCCTAATTCCGTGTAAATTTACGCGCCGACGTTACAAACTCTCATTAATCTGAATATTAATGTTAATAAATACTCCAATAAGGTAGTTAAATACTGACTTTAACGGGTCCTTTTTGACAGCGGCTCCCAGTTAATCGCTCATAAACAACAGACACGAGTCTCACGGCGGAAACGAGCGGATTCCCGCCCCCTTTGCTACGCGTTGATTGGCTGGAAGTGACGTGAGGGCGGGGTCAGGAATAAAGCGCGGGGAAAACATCCACCCTGAGTTTCACCTGACAGGCACAACCGTTTTAACATGCTAGTTTAAAAACCCAGGCGTTTTGCCATAATTGTTAAACACAATAAACTAAAACTAAACTTAAACCACATGTAACGTAAATCTTAATACAACCACCTGTCGCGTAGAGCTTTTTTGAAGGCGCTACACGCAGCCTGACAAGTCAACAAGAGCGGATTAATTCCCCGCAAGGTGTTCGGCTTCTAACCACGTCTACTTCCGGTCGGCTCAGTCTACGACGTGCTGTCTGCGCTTGTGAGCCGCACACATCAACAAGGGGAGATAAAAAACATTTCTCTCCATAGCAGTTCGTTCCCTGAAATACCTCCACTGCTCGCTGCTACCTGTAAGTTCCCACCGCTGGGCTGTGTGTGTGTGCTCTCGCGTTGCTTATTGTTTACGTAACTAACGCGGACCAACTTGGTATCAGACTAGTGGACCAGGTTATGTGCTGGAAAACGAGGACATGTCCAAGTCGGGTGGTTTTTGGGGGGGGTGGTCTCATGTTTACACACCTACTTTTGCAAGACAGGACAGACATTAAAGAATAGATAACATCTGTTTACGTGAAGTCGCTAAGGAGTGCACTCAGTTTTAATTGCATGGTGTTGTTTATGTGAAACATGCAGTTTGCAAAAGTAATCAGCAAATAGACTAAGCCAGTAAACAGGTTTTATTTTGATTTGATTTTCAGTCAGATCTTGCGTAAAGGATTCTTTGTGGTTGTGTCATTCGTCCCTGTCGTTGCAGACACTCGCTTTGTAACAGTAATGGGTGTTATCAGACTCAATATATCTATCACTGCATGTGTAAACCTTGAATCTCTGTGTGTCGACTGAAAATGAGCTCCAGTATCCCAAATATATTGTGACTGTGGACTGTGCTTGTGTACTGTTGCACTGAGCCTTTCTGCTTTAAAGTCCTGGTGTGTGTATATATACTTTTTTTTTAAAGAAACAATTATAATTGTGTAGAGAATATAATGAACTGATGAATGTTGGCATGCACCAGGTATTGTTGAAACATGCTGAAGGAAGTAATTATTGCCCTTAAAGACTGCAACTTAAACCCTTTTCTTTAATCCAGTCTGGCACTTGAATGTGTGCCAGAGGGCAAAGTTCAATAAGATTGCACAAGGTGGTTTTTTTTTTTTTTTGTTGTTGTTGTTGAGGAGCAACGTGTTACATTGCTGCTTCTTTAAATAAAAAGTATACCAGATAGTAAGAATTGTAAATAACTTCTGGAGTCTTCTGCAGAGCGTAGCGTGTTTGCAGAGTAGATTTGACATGTTTATGGCTTCTTAAAGTGTTTCAGGATTCACAGTTCGCTTTTTATCATGTCAAAGTCCAGTTAATGGACATTGACACGACCATTGATCCGACTGTAGACGTTCCTGAGAAATGCCGGGGATGGTTTCAGAATAATAACAAAGACCATGGGAAAACTGGTAAAGATGCATTTAAATAAAATAGATTTTATCAAATAGATCAATGCTGAAAGTGTAGTTGTTTTTTAAATAATGAGGGACGTGTTGAGAGGAAAGAAAGGTGGAGAAATACAACTGTTGCACACAAGTGTTTATTGTATAGTGAATATATATATATATATATATGTGTGTATATATTTTCTGTTCACAGACCAGAATGAATGTGGGTGTGGCACACAGTGAGGTGAACCCAAATACTCGGGTCATGAACAGTCGAGGGATCTGGCTGACCTATGCACTTGGTGTTGGAATACTTCACATTGTGCTCTTGAGCATACCCTTCTTCAGCGTGCCAGTGGTGTGGACTCTAACTAATGTCATACACAACTTTGTAAGTTACATTTCGCACACTGTCACCGCGGCTCACCGGGCCAAACCAACAAAACTAGGCCGTTCACATCACTGCTAAAATCACTCTCGCGGAGCAGTTACTCATTTTGATTTAAGGGTGTTTTAGATGAACACTTAAGAGTGCCGCAAAGTTAGTTGTAGCCTCACAGGCCAAATGAATCTTGCATGCATGTGTAGCCAAACAGCCCCGGTGTCTGTTACCTTCTGCCTTGTGTGTGTGCTTGTTGAAGATTATGCTCTATTTTTGGGGAGGCTGTTCTAGCGTCTGTCGGCCTGAAAGCGTGACCCATTATGATCATTTCTCCTCCACACAAGGTCTGCAGGCAAAAAACTGACCTTTCATTGTTACACGGGCTGACCTCAAATCAAGAAACAAAGTCGACGTGTGTGTGTGTGACATCATCAAGTAGTGCGAGCCCGAAGCGGTTAACAGGGATTGTGTATCACAGCCAATACGGAAAGGCTATTAACAGTAACCGCTAAGGTCAACTATAGCCGATTGTTTTCCACACAATACAACAGCAGTGTGCTGATTATGGCCTTGGCCGTATGTCAGCGTTTTAGTTTTATGACTCTTGCCTCTGTAATGCAGGTTTTCCATTTAAAGCCGAATTCCTGTGTTTTGACATAGAGCCGTGTAATTGGAAACGAGTGTCATTCCCAAGATAGCAAGCGTAGCAATAAATCCTCATCGTCCCGTCCTTTTTTTTTCTTTTTTTCTTTTGGGCTTCTTGAATGTGTATTTGTGAAGCACCAGGCTGGAGTTGTTTCTGTTGGGATTCTTCTGTCTCTACTCGTTATGCCTTTACTGGACCTCAGTGTGTAACATTTAGGAGTATAATATTCATAGGTATGTTTCCATTAGTGTATAATTACCTGAATATAGGAATTGTTATGGTTTCTCTACGTTAGAAGGAGCTGTTTTTATCCATGTAGCCCACCATGTTGAACAGACAAACCAAGCACTGGCTGTAGACAGGGGCCTTGTACATTAGTAGTTTCCAGATTCCAGGGAATGCGACCCATGTAGATATAAACAGCTCCTTCTAAGGTAACGAAGCCATAACAATTCCTTTATTCAGGCAATTACACACTAACGAAAACATACCTATGAATGTTATATTCCATTTCTGCCAACAGATCTTTTTAAATGTTACACACTGGACCTTTAAACTCTGATATATAAGAACATTATTTAAAATCGACAGTGTTTTATGAATTGTGACACTATGTGTTTGGAGAAAACAAGATAAAAAGAGATGGGCCACTCCATTTTATCTGTCTGCTATGCTATTACCGCACTACCGGCTGTGTTTTTGTCCCTACAGGGAATGTATGTCTTTATGCATGCAGTGAAAGGCACACCTTTTGAGACCCCCGACCAAGGAAAAGCCAGACTTCTTACGCATTGGGAACAGCTTGACTACGGCGTGCAGTTCACTTCATCTAGAAAGTTTTTCACCATCTCCCCAATCATTCTGTATGTATTAGATATCATATGGTCTTTAGACTTTATAATTTAGATATACATAAAGAACAGTACTACTTTATATGGTTGTTAATATGTTGCGTTATCTCTTACTGCATATTCCTTGTGTTAGATTTTTTGATTTTATGGTTTATTTTTTTAATGAACCCGTCTGTTTTGCTCCACAGATACTTCCTGGCAAGTTTCTACACAAAGTATGACACGACACACTTCGTCATAAACACTGCCTCACTTTTGAGCGTCCTGATCCCCAAGCTGCCACAACTACACGGAGTCAGACTTTTTGGCATCAACAAGTATTAAGTTATCGTAAATGCTGTGCCTCATAGCAACAGAAGTTGATTCCTGTGTAGTCTTTACCGCCGATGTGTGTACTAAGTCGTACAGTATGTGTAAACGTCACTGTCGTCGTTTAGGTATCAGGTTTAAGATGAAATGTTAAAAAACAAACGGGAGTAGGTTTGTAGATGACAGGATGCCATATGCATTACTAACTTATGTGAATATTTAATAATGTATTTTTGGCCTGCGTAGACCTGGGCTGGCCCAGGCATCAGCGAGGCTTTTGGTTGAGTTTATTGTTTTTTTTCTGTCTTTGCTCTCAGTTCACATGGCAACACAAATTGTCAGTATGAGTCTGTTTCTAACAACAAAAGATGTCCCAAATGTATTTTTCAAAGATGTTTACTTCCTAAGGGTAGGAGCCTGTGGCTCGTTGTTTATTGGTACACTCTCATTTTGTAATGGGTGTCAAACTTATTCATGCTGAGTGACGAATGGAATCATATTCCTTATTTGCATGATTTCCTTGGTATGTGAATCATTTCTCATTTGTAACTCAATCAAAGTAGGGCAGGCTTTTTTCATTGTACAGTTTTTTTGTGAATGTTATGTCCTGTATGTTAAAGTAAAAAGTCCTGTATGTAGAAATGAGACAAATTATTGTTGTCTGGTTAAGTGTTTACTGAGGGAGGTCTACAGTGTCCGTGTGATAAACTTACATTCATGTAGCTGCTCTCTTTAGATTATGACTTTTTGCTCTCAATGCAGCTAGTCCTGCTTTGTTTGGCCATAGCTCATAGTACTCTTGAGAGTTCTTGTTCTTAATCTTATTAAAATGTTTGTGCCCTCACACTGCTCTGTCTCTCATTGCATGGTGCACTGCATGCTTATGGGATTTTGAGAATGTAATGAGACTTTTGGCTATTTTCCAAAAAGGAAATGTCAGTTCATTTGAGGAGTTACGGATGAATACAGAACTTTTTTTTTTTTCCCCTTTGATGTGAGCTGTTCATAAACTTTGGTATGGACAGTAGAAAGATAAACTTTTGACCTGAGAAGTAATCCTAGTTTATCAGGAAAGGCATTAACACCGACCTAACCTGGGTTCACAGTAAAATAGCTTTAATGATGGAGTATTATAACAGATTACACATAAATAACATTTATCTGAACCTAATTTATGTACTAAATAGTTTGAAAACAAATGACAAGTTGCTGGATTCTGTCAGATTCCATATAAAAGATCAAATCTTTAAGAAAACAAGGTCACACAATATCACTTAAGTCAATTGCAGAGGCTGTTCTGGACCTGGATTTCCAATCCACTGCAAATAAGGAAATCATGATATGTTGAACTTAAAGATCCCCTCCTCACATGTATTAAAACATGCAAACAATCTTGGAATAATAATGTGTGTCTGATATGTTTTTCTTCCTGCAAAACAGTTGAATTCCCACATTAAAATCCTTAAAAAGGCATCTACTCTGTTAACCTCATTAAAAATAATAATAATATCCATAATCTATGTTTTTTGCAGAAAAGAATTTGCAGATTTTGCTCATTTCTTTAGTTTTCCTGCTGGACACAAGATGTTTCCTGCTTCACTGTAAAGTCCATTCTCAGTGCACTGGTGGATCACACTGTATAAGTTTCATACTGGATCAGATTGACTTTCAAACTATTTGTGATGTCAAAAATAATACTTGTAGGCTCCGCCCCTTACAATCAGATCTTCAACTTTGTGCACTTTACAGCAGATGAATGTGAAAACATCCTTCTAGTGTCAAACTCTGTACATACATTATTAAATTATTTTTAAAAAATGATTTTTGACATCAACAAACACCACTGTATTTCTTAAGGTATGTTTAATATCCCCTGCAGGTTAATGCGACAAAACAATGTAAATATAACATTTTAGCTGGTAGGTTAATTGCTGTATTTTTACATTTTATTTAAAACATAAATGCTTCTTCCTATATCACAAATTATTATTTAATTTTTATTGTGCTAATGTTGTACCTTAAGTCTGGCTTCAGTGTCACTGACTTTCTCTTTAATGCCTGTAAGTCACAGTTTTAAGGTCACAGTCAAAAAACCTCAGTCTAAAGGAAAGTCAGCACTATAGTGGGAACCTAATTATTGGTTTTCATATACAAATACGCTCTCAATACAACACCACATGATTAAAAACTTTATTTAAAATAAATGCAAAAGTAAAACAGTGGATTGTTCCTGTGATAACATGAATTCAAAGAGTTTTCCAGCTGATGAATTAAAATACATTCGTTTATCTACTTTCCCTTTTTAACGTGCCCGTCCAAACTGTTAAGATCCTCACACTGCTTGCCCAAGACTCCTTTATAAACCTCAAAGCGATGGTTCAAATCTTTCTGCGAGTGGATTTTATATTTGGTCCCGAAGGCCCCGTCAGCAGAGGCGCTCCCATAGAAGACGCGACCTATCCGGGAGTGCACCAGCGCCATGGCACACATGACACAAGGTTCTCGGGTCACATAAAGGTCATACCCAGTGCATATGTACGGCTGAGAGCTGGCCTCTGCACCAGGAATCTTCTGAACAGGGTCTGAGGTTAGTGAAGTAAAGCTGCATGCTGGGTATCTGTCATAGGTGTAACATCCACCGCCCTGGCTCCGAGCCACAAGGTCAACGCAGACCATGACTGCGTGATGAAGGGGGTGATCGCCTCTGCAGTCATGGCCCACTGCAACGATCCTCTCCATCGCTGGGTCGACCATCACGGCCCCCACCGCCTCCATTCCCAACTCGTTCGCTGCTCTGGCAGCAGTCAAAGCAGAGGTCATGTACACGTGCATCCTGGCTTTCTGAGGCGCGCTGAAGAGTTCTCCTCTCAGGGCGACGGTCACCTGTTTGTCCTCGTGAAAGGAGGTCGGCCAGTGTTTGCTCGCCTGCTCAAACTGGGGTCGGGTCAATGGGGGACGGGCAGGGACCTTAACCACAAAAGGCTCACCCAATCCGTCTGATTTAACTCCATCTGAGGGGAGCAGAGAGTCGATGCTGACCACCTTCATGGCTGGCGCGTCACTGACCAGGCACACAAGGACTTCCAGAGGGTGAGGGCTGCCCTTCTCCTTGACCGCCCGCACCCTCTTCACATGCTGAAGGTCATTCAGCGGGTAGAGGCTGTTCAGCTCGCGGACCAGTCGAGATGTCTCCTTCTTGTTGACAATGGGTGCAGCATACGCCTCTACCAGCCCGACGTCTTGTGACTGCTCATCTGACAGTACAGGATAAGCAACCCAGGAGTCGGTGTCGCACTCCGATCCCTTCCAGCGTTTGGTCTGTGGCTCCATTGTTTTGGTGTTCTCCTGTGAAATAGGATTTCACACCAAAGTGAAACAAAGTCAGTGTACTTTCAGGACAGGACACAAGATGAAACAACACTTCAGACTGGTTGACAGAACAAAACCGCTTCAGCCAAGAAACAACACCACTGCATAACTTAAAAGAGTGAACTTATAATAAATCATATACTCTGGTTAATGAGTGACACACTGGATGTGCCATTTCATTCATTTTCAGTGTGGTGATGTTTGTCTGTGTTATTATTCAGCCATAAAATACAGTGCACTTAGTTATGTGTTATTCTTAATTTGTACAATTGGAAGTAACATCATTTTGTATCCATGCCAACTGAATCATGCTGATTTGAATTATATTTGCTTGCTTAGTGTGGAACTTTTTTAATATATAACCCTTAAAGATCCTCTCCAGACATGTATTAAGACATCATTAATATAGTCTGCTTGGAACAATAATGAGTGTCTGAAGTTTTCTCTGCAAAAAGGAAGTATAACTTTCACTTCACCTCATTAAAAATTCCAGAAACTATGAATATGCTAATTTAGTTCAGTTTTATGCCACAGGCATTTCAGTACTGCACTACTACACTTGTATATCAGTCAAGCCCTTATCAGTAGTCAAGTTAATCAATAAAGTAAATAATGCACACACAAACACAGCCAATAATGATTTTACATCTATTTTATGTATGCAGTGCTGAAACAAGAAGTTGATGAATCAACAAAAAATAATTCCAGGTTTAAGAGCTGAATAATTATTACATTCATCAACTAAAAATACCAAACATTTGGTGGTCACAGCTTCAGAGTTGCACATACACGCTTCGCTTTCTGATAATAAATTGAATGTTTGAAGACATTTAAAGACAGCATTTCTTCTGTTGTTATTTGATCCAAAGATATGTGCTACAGAGGTCCCATAATCCCTCATAATATTTAAAAAAAAATGAATCCATGATTTAAACAATTTCTAGTTGCAACCGTCAGATAGAAGTGGTCCATTACAGACATGTGAAACATAATTAATAAAGCAGCTTGGGAGGAGATTCCCAGTGGCAAAGACAGCCTGTAGTACGTCTCTTCATTTCCTCCCCAGTATAAGCTTCGTCTTCATAACTTTGGGCACATGTCTTATGGTCAGTGACACTCTGGTGCCTCGGGTCAGCGTCTCTCCTGGCAGGGCCCCGGCGGCCGACAGGTTCACCACCTTGTCCGTCAGCGTGTCCTGGGCGTGGGGCCGGATGCCGTGCAGGAGCCTCTGGTACATTTCGTCCTGCAGGATCAGAAGACTGCGCGGCTTCACCAGCAGGGAGAAGAGGAAGCGGTTCTCCTCTGTCTGCGGTGCGTCGTCCTCCAGGCTGCTGATGGGCCTGTAGAAGTCAAGGAGGGTGTGAGAGCCCAGGCTGATGGTGGTGACTGTAGGGTGGTACAGAGGGCCGTCTTCGTGAGGCATAATCCCCTCTCCTGGTTTGTACTCATTCACCAACACATGATTGGCAGTTCTCCCACTGAATGCACCCAGAGAGGATATTTTCTCGCAGTACGTCTGGAGCCAGTCGGGAATCTTTTCTGCCAGCATGCCTTTGGGATGCGGTAACCCTCCCCAGTTCTGCAGCCTTCTGCCTGACAGCTGAGTCCATTTAGTTTTTGGAGACCTGTTCACCTGCAGTTGAAGGTAGGACTCCTCGTCTTCAGATATGAAATCTGGGATGTAATACACCGTCGGTGGGGCATCGTTTACAACAAACTGCTTCAACTCCTCCAAAATACAAGCTGGATGCTCCATGCCTCCTTCAGAAAAGTCAACATGAGATGCTTGTTAAAACCTATGTTGATGTTGTGTGTTGATAGCATAAGCAACTTTTTTTTTTTTTTTTTTTTTTAAGCTTCCTCAAACCCTTTTACATACAGTCTACGCGTCAAACAGGTTATACTGTCCATTAAAAGTTCACTGACAGCTCTGAAACTGGTTCCTTCGTCTGACTGCAGCAGAAAAATCCCACAGCGTAAAGAGCACATGGAAGTGGACGTAACGGTGCCTTTATGGTTGTGGTAATTCGGAGCTTCGAAACGTCTCATCCAAACTACCATCGCCTGTTGATGCCGACACAAACAATAAAGATGCCAGTAAGTCACGTATTATCTCTATATAACACTGGACGTTTTTAATCACACACACACACACATACACAGCAACTCTGCCTTTCTCAACAATAACAAGCGTTATTCCTCTGCTGTTGTACAGTTTTGGCACAATTACGACATTGTTGGCACCCCTGAAGGCAGCACAGCTCCGCTACGCGCAAACGGCTACTTTAACATTCTGACCCAGCGCCATGTTTGTTTGTTTGTAACGCAACCGACACAACCGACACGGCGCCGCTATCAACAATAGTTTAACAATTAAGTGGCACAAAATGATCTTTACCTCTTTTAAAATTTAAAACGTAGAAGAGAATACCGTTAAAACACCCAGTTAACCGCTCGACTCCATGGTTTCCTGCTTGTGCAGCAGACTAACATGTCCCCCCACCCCCTAAAAGAAAACGTAATTTTGTGGACCCACATTTTTATTTTCTAAACGATTTTTTTCCAACTTATTTGCTTTTTAAAATTAAACGTTTGACAGGTATACTGTTAAGTGGATAGCATACGTTTTTCCTAATGTCTTTTAGGTACTTCATCTAATGTGACATATTTCCCGCTGCACGGGATTATTTACATGTGACACAGCGACACGGACACTCAATGGACTGGAGGTCATATTCGTCTTTACTTGGGCTCATTTAGCGAGTTTAAAATGAAATGGGAACTGAGTTGAGGTCGCCTTCAGTTAACAGACTGTTTAAACTCAAAGTATGTTTCCTACAAAAGTAAGAAATGTGCACAGGCTGTTAAAGTTTAGGCACACGGTGTCTCCTTCCGCTGGGAAAGCTTCGTGCTCCAGACTGGTTTTGGGCATCGAGACGAGCTGTGATGAAACTGGAGCTGCTGTGCTGGACGAGACAGGTGAAATCCTGGGAGAGGCTCTACATTCACAGAAAGAAGTACATCTGAGGTGGGTGTCAGAGCTGTTTCAGTACAGTGGCTGTAAGGCTTTTTTGTTCTGACTTAAAGTTCCTCTCTCTGTCTCTTTATTGCTGCAGGACCGGTGGCATCATCCCCACAGTGGCTCAACAGCTCCACAGGGAAAACATACAGCGTGTGGTCCAGGAGGCTTTGGAGAGGAGCAACGTGGAGCCGAGGCAGCTCTCGGCGGTGGCCACCACTGTGAAGCCGGGCTTGGGTTTGAGTTTGGGCATCGGCCTTGAGTTCAGTCAGAGGTTTGTGAGGCAGCACCACAAGCCCTTCATCCCCATCCACCACATGGAGGCCCACGCCCTGACCGTCAGGATGCTCCAGCCTGTCCCCTTCCCCTTCCTCGTCCTGCTCGTCTCTGGTGGTCACTCTCTCCTCGCTGTGGCTCGAGGAGTCGACGACTTCATGCTTTTGGGTCACACTCTGGATGAAGCTCCGGGGGATACACTGGATAAAGTAAGATCTTACCGCTCAGATGTGGCTGTTGTTGATTATAAACACAGTGTAATCATGTTCTTTCTTTTGGTTTTTTTGTGGATTCGCAGGTGGCCAGACGTCTGTCCCTCATAAAACACCCGCAGTGCTCCACACTGAGCGGAGGACAAGCTGTAGAGCTGCTGGCGAAGGATGGCGACAGGACGAGGTTCCCTTTCAGGACACCGATGGGACAAACGTATGACTGCTGCTTTTCTTTTGCTGGCATACGAAATCAAGTTACAACGACGATAATTAAAAAAGAGGTAGAGGAAGGTATGTGATCAGATTCTTCGACCTTTTTTCTACAGCATACAGATTTTATTAGTTTTATTCAATATACTTCTTGTTCCTCCGGTATTGTTAAAGTCTTTCTGTTAGATTCGTTAAGAGTTTTCCCTCCGTCTGTAGGTGTAGAACAGGGCACACTGTTATCATGTGTGAATGACATTGCAGCAGCTACACAGCACACGGTTGCCTCTCATCTTGCGAAGCGCACACATCGTGCCGTCATGTTCTGTAAGGCAAACGGCCTGCTGCCCTCAGACAATCCCACCTTGGTGAGTGCTTGTTTGTGTTTTATTGAATTCAGGACAATAAGTGCTTGCATGTAACTGCAGTGCCAGTTCCCGGCGCTGCAGTTATCGGTTGCTCACTGGAGAAAATGGGATTTTAACCATCTCAACTTCTTCCCTTTTCCTTAATTATAAGGTTGATTATTTAAACATTGACACTGTTACTGGCCTCAGATCTTATTATACTATACTATTCTTACATTAACATCTTCTTCCATCAGAAATACTGACAACTAACTCCTTTTTTGTGCTGTTCCATCCAGCGTCATCGACTGAATAAATAATTCAGAGTGCTTTTTAAAGGATAGGCTTAATGATATTAGAGTAACGTTTGCTAAAAACTACAGTGCCCTGCTGAGTTAAAGAAATTAAAGAGCCTTTTTTGACCATGCACATTGTTATATATAACACACAAAGTAAAATTATTGTTATTTGAAATTTGATTTTGTTATTCTATTACATATCTGTATATACATATATTTTACAGATGCTTTGTTTCCCCTGCCAGTAAAGTCCCACTGAATTGAATTGAATTGAATATTTAAGACCCATTTTTAATAAAAAGGGGTGTACACAATGTTGGTTTTGGAAATAACACCAGCCTGATCCTTTGACTCAGAGAACATTGTGAATATGGATTTAAAGATCTTCTCCTTGTCTTCAGGTGCTGTCTGGAGGAGTTGCAAGCAATCAGTATATACGCAAGGCTTTGACCATTATCACTGAGGCGACAGGACTACACCTGCTCTGTCCTCCGGCAAAATTCTGCACTGACAACGGAGTGATGATTGCATGGTGCGTATACTGACTCAGTAAAGGTTTGACGGTGAATGCAAATCAGATGATGTGCATTTATATATTTTTTTGCTTTTCAACCAGGAACGGCGTCGAGCGGCTGAGAGAAGGGAAAGGGATCCTGCCTCCAAACGTGGACGTCATCTATGAGCCAAAGTAAGTCAACACTGTAATAATTTTCTCAGCGCAGAGTGAATTCTTGTTTGATTTCTTTGTGCTGCTGCTTAAAATACATAAATGTTGTATTTCAGGGCACCGCTGGGAGTCGATATGACAGCTGAGGTGAAGGCAGCAGCCATCAAAGTGCCGTCAGTGAAGATAAAGATCCCCAACTGACCAAAGAAAGAGTTTTCCCCATGTTTAAATATATACTGTGTATATCTGCTATCAATGTATACACATATTAAACAGCTATTTATTAATAAAAGTGTTTTTTATACATCTCAGTTTTCTAAAATATCCTCTAAAAAAAAAAAATATCTGAAAATTAAAAATCCAAACAATTTAATTTTTTTTTATTTTTTGTGTTTGTAAAGAATGAGCTGAATATAGCTGCTTCATAAATTATAGGTGTCTGACAATTCTACAAAGGTTTGTTCTTCTGGTAAATTATCAGTCTTTGCTTCATGATAAGTTCTTAAATAATACAATTTTAAATTTAACCACATTGATGTGGAATAACGTGTAATATTTGAACATCTTTAGGGTTGAATCAACAACCTGAGGGTCATAAACAGCACGGAAGTGTTGCATTCCTATTTGACTGTATGTGTTACACAGCAAGCTGGTTTTTGTCACCTCAACGCTAATTTGAACCTATTTCCAAGAAGGAAACAAGTGTTTACTGGAGGACTCAATTTATTGCGCTTTATCTGCACATTAGAACAGACAAACATGACCTGCAGCTTCTTGCTGGAGTAAAAAATGGGACTGAACTTGAGTTGAAAACTTACTGAAGGTTATACAGCTTTTGATTTATCAAGTACACTTCATTAAATTCTGTCCAACGCCTGTACAGGGAGCGTAATCTATTGCTCATTGAGGTACACACAGAATTGGCTTAGCACTACCCTCTAGTGGTTGGTTTAGGTTTGTGCAGCTAAAGAGTGAGTACAAGTACAAATTTGAGGTACTTTAGTATTTCTATTTTTATGCAACTTTATACTTTATTCCACTACATTTGTTTGGTAGAATATGATGCATGGCTGGAGATCAGAGTACTTTAATTTATGATAGTCAATCTTTTCTGATAATTATAGATGGGTGGGTTTCAGAGGTGGGGGCCTGGGGTGGAACTGGCTATTTACCTAAACTTTATGTATTTATCTTTTGTTCTAAAACGTGTTACTGACCGAGATAACCATGTTTCTCATATTGTAATGTACATAGAATAATGGAATCGTACATTTTTAATTTGTTTGTTTTGATATCGGCATTATATATGAGCCATCAGTCGCTCTACTTTCTACATATCGGCAACAGAAATTGAAAAGTCGAACACTCCTGATAATACTTACATACTTTTTCTTAAGTAAGGTTTTGAATGCAGAACCTTTACAATGTGGTATTAGTACTTTTACTTAAGTAAAGGATCTGAATACTTTCACCACTGCACCTCAACACCCAGTGGACAAGAGTTCCTTTTATCAATGAAAATACAGAGAAAACAAACAAATGACATGTGACATTCAGTAGTTTTCCACACACACACACACACTATGGTTTATTTATTGTGTTACTGAATTCAACAACTGTTCAACTGGATACAATGATAATCATTAGTTTGACCACATAAAGATGTACAAAAGAACTTGTAAACATATCTGAAAAACAACAACACGCATCCATGTGCATTTTATCATCAATTATATTCAAACTTCTCCACAGAGAACAGACACATTTGGACATCCTAACTGAGGAAGAAAAGATGAGTCTTCGCAGTCACTTTCTTTAATTTAAATCTGACTCTATCTGTGAATCTGGTGTGATATTGCAGATTAGAGGGCAGGAAATTCACAGGGAGGCGGGACAATTAAAGCTCATTTTTCTTGTGTCTGTGGTTAAACTGGTTTTCTAAAATCTCACATGACAGTCATGTTACAGTTTCACTGATCCCACAACACTGTGCAATCTTGTGGGTTCTGCAAACTGAATCAATGTTCACAGACAGAAATAAAACATTTAAAATGCTCAGATTTAGTGGTATTTGCACAAAAGTCAAAGTTTTCACAGGTGTCGGAGATGTTCTTAAATTCATAGTTGAATTAAGAGGCTAGTTCGCCGGGTTGGAAAGATTTTGGGGACCTGTGTGTAACATTTAGGAGGATCTATTGGCAGAAACTGAATAAAATATTCATAAGTATGTTTTCATTAGTGTAAAATCACCCAAAAATAAGAATACATTTGTTTTTGTTACCTTAGAATTAGTTATTTTAATCTATAGGGGGAGCAGGTCTTTTTCTACGGAGTCCGTAGCCCAGAATAGACAAACCAAACCTTGGCTCTAGATAGGGCCATTCACGAGTTTTAAAGGTTGAGGCAAGGGGGTCGCAATCTGCAACTACACACACACTAGATGCCACTAAATCCTTCACACTGGTCCTTTAAAGGGAAAATCCGCCCTGACAATGTGGTATCTCATTGTGATATTCACTGCTTAGCAATAAAGACGGCAGGTTTTGGAGTCACTCAAAGATCCAAAACTTCTCTTTTTATTCGTGCCATTGAACTCATGCTGAAGAATTATACAGGGCAAAATCAACCACAGAAGAGGAACAGATACTCTTTTCTTACTTCTACAGTAGCGCAGGGGGTTTCAAAAGGCATTCTGGGAAACAGTAGGAAACCGCTAACTGAAGTAGAAGTGATGAGGCATGTTGAAGTAAAGTTGGTACAAAGCTAAAAAGGTAAAGTTTCATCACAAAATAAAACCCAGACTAAACTGAAAATCCTAATTTAACGTCTAACCGTGTGAGAACTCAGACAGTGGAGTTTTCCTTTTATGTATTCATGTTTTCTCTAATTGATCAAAGCACATAAAATGTAAAAAAAAAGAGCCACTACTTCTACCTCTAGAGCTCATCGTGTTCATAAATATTGTACTCCTTCGCGCTGATATGTCCGTCTTTGTCCTGGTCATTCTTGCGGAATATATCAGCCATGATCTTCTCATAGAAAGCTTCGTCACGTGGCTTCCCACCTTTTTCATACTCCAGTTTCAAGTATTCTTTTACCTGAAAATAAAGGCACAATTCATTATTTAATTATTTACTCGTGGTTTATTTGATAGGGACAGAAACAGTAAACACAAACAGGCTGAAAAGGGCTATCCAAAGAATTTATCATAGTGTTTGTTGGTTGAAGCTGCTCTGGTGGATCTGCGGCAGCTCTGCAGTCTCATTAATATTTGCAGAGAGTCTATTAAAACTTTTAAAGACAAGCTTTACATACTGAGCATCAATACAATTTGCAAAGCTTAAGATCTTGTATTTAACTAAAACGCAGAAATGATGGTACCTCATTTGCTTTTTGTCCAAGAGGCCAGATTGTAAAGACACTATGGATTAATTACAGACTGAGAAAGAAAATCATTGAATTTCCAAACACCAAGGCACAATCAAATGTCAAACAAAACACACTACACAGAATTAATAACATACATATATTGTACTTTTACGACACTTACATAATAAGCCATTGTTGTGCTCTACAAACTACGTGTCACATTGGTAATAAATAAATGGTATTGATAGCAGGTCATTCACTTCTTTCAAAGTGCTATCAACAATACAGATAACGTCATGACTAAGAACATTCTTTACATTTACGTTAATAAGTTAAATTGTAATCTCTAAAAACTGGTTTGCCTCATGGTCTGTATTATTTCTATTGTCCTTTACTGCTGTAAAGTTGCAAAGATATGCAGTTAATAAATGAAAGCTAAAGTGATTTATAGCCCGACGGCTTTATTGTACGATCAATGGATGTTTATGATGTGAGATAAAGCGGACACAAAGGGAACAAACTCACAAGCCTGTATCTGCCCCAAGGCCCCCGAACTCTAAGTATTAGCTGGGCAGTACAGAAATGCATTAATATTTGGGGAAATACACTACCTTACTTACTTTCCAAGACTTAAATGGTAAGATCGATACAACTCTCAGGGCTCTTTAGCTTCGCCTTCACATAAAGACTGGAAGCAGGGAGAAACAGCAAGTGTGGTTCTTTCCAAAGTTATAAAATATATATATATATATATTATATACATATAGATGTGTTTGACTTCCTAAATGAATGTGTTTAATCATACCGTGGCCTTTATTATCCTTGCAGGGACTGCACTGTAACTGTACACACTGCACAGGTACAGTAAGAGGTGTTAAATGAGGGCCTAGCAGCTCATTTATCCAACCATGGTTATTACCTCGGGACTTTTTCGGTTACGTTTGGGATAATAACCAGCTTGTAAATGATATTTACCTCATCCTTTGTGAGACTTTTGTCTTCATTCTGATCTATCTTTCTGAAAGCCTCCATGCTGCGTGGTCCCCTGGACACAGAGTAAACCTCCACCTCAAAGACCACCGTGGCATTGGGTGGCACTGGATCTATTTAATTAGGGAGAAATAACAACATATGAAGATTTGAAAAGACCACAAGCAATACAGTGCTGCAGGAGTGAGTCCTAAAACTGGAAATGAGCATTTTAAGCACTTCTGGTTCAAGTTAGATGCCTGAAATAAGTACTAAAGAGATTTTCGTGCTTTGTTCTACGTCATAAATACATCAATAAATACCCCACCTTTAAATTCTGAAGCTTTTATGTGTCTTTAAAAAAGGCGGTTGCTAACAAGTGGCTAATGAGACTACAGAGGTTGCGGGGGCCATCAAACATCTGCCCACCGAACACTTAAAGTTTGTGACGTGACCACAGAGTAGTTTGTAACTTTTCACTTCTGCCAATCACATTTACGCTACACAAATCAAAAGTGGTGTTCAACAATCCAAAAACTAAAGGGTAAAATCCTGCCGGCAAGGAACCAGAGCGATGCTAACCTCCGGTTCGGCCTACAAACACACGTCATCCCTGCAGCTCCTATTGTAAGGCAATAATACAATGAATCAAGATTTTAAAAGATCACAAGCTATTACAAAACCATAATCATGACTCTGTCTTTTATTAGGTGGCACTGTGAAGGAAGGATGCAAGTTGCATTTCAAGGAAAATATTGAGTTTATCTGTCGCAGTGATTCAGATACATTTTCAGACTTTGTGATGAATTGATCAAAACAGCTTCTACCTACATAAATAAATGAATCATAGGATAACAGAGTACCCATTTAAGTACCCATTTAAGAGGCATTAATCCAGCAAGAAAAGGAAAACTAATGCAACATGCAATTTAAGTTGTTAATTTTAAGTGTGTTAAAAGAACAGGAAAGATCAAGAACACAGAGGCTCCATTGTAGTTTTCACTCAGCAGCTCTCAGCTTCACATTTATTACATGTTACATGTAATTGTATCACAAACTGGTCCAGGGACAACAAAAACATGCACTCAGCAAAAGAGTGCCGGGCTACAGGCAGCACCACCATCAGATCATAACACTGTGACCACCAACATGAAGAGGTTTACAGGAAACAGTAGTTCAAGGTAAAAAGATGAATCAGCTGTTAGTTTTTGAAATGAAGCAGAGACCTTTAAACCTTTGTGCATGCTTACAGTACATGCCATGGGGAGGGGGATGAGTAGCAAACACTGCGAGGGATGTGATGCCTTTTCAATTAAAGCGCTGTAAAAGAAGACAAGACAGCGTGAACGCAGCTCTTCCACCAGATACAACAATATAGTCATCAGTTTAAAAGACTGTATAAGTTGGACTGATTGTTTTTTAACATATTCGTACAACTGCTGCACATTTTCATTGATTTTGTAAGTTCCACGTGGCTAAAAATAAGTAAATATATTTTTATAATATAATACCTACGATTGCGACACTGTTTTTAAAATGTATGTATTTAAAACAAACACAGGAGTAAGGTTGGGTCAATGATGCAAAGAAATGTTAACCAGTCCAGTAAACAGTTGTGTAATGTCTTCTGGGGGTGTGGAGGAGCTTTATAAAGTCTAAAAAATAACCTTATCTCGGCTCGGAGACAACAACAGTCTGTTCCATTTACTTACCTTTGCCTTTCTCTCCAAAGGCCAGCGAAGAGGGAACGGTTATTTTTCGTTTCTCTCCAGGACACATATCTTCCATCCCTATGTCGAGGCCCTTGATGACTTGTCCGACGCCCAGCACAAACCACTGAGGGTGCCCAGCTTTGTCCGACCGACTAAAACAGAAACAGTACACACAACAAGCCTGTCAATCAACTGTCAGGACTGCGGGGGTTCCTGTGTCTATGTTACTCTTTCAACCAGAAAGCCAGTTGTTAAAACTGTTTATGTCGGTCAATAAAGATGTAGCCTCATGTTATGAGTTTAATTATGACATCTGATCATTCATGGGCCATTCCACTGAATTACATGCATAAATATGCATGGAAACTTTTGTTTGATACATCATATTATTTAGCAAAGTGTCCTGTACTTTGTTCTAATTGCAATTTGAAGCCACATCATGGGAAACCTTAATAAAAACTACCTAGAATACTGAACTCTAACACTACACTTCAGCATGAAATGTGAATGACCAATAAAAAAAAATATATATATATATATATATTTTAATTACACATAACATTTGGCTTCCCCACCCCACCCTAATAATTTTCGTACAGTCCCTAAACACACCATTGATCCAGGTGAGGGCAGCTGAAGTTGGTCTAAAACCTGGATTTACTATACAATTCCCAATATTTAGCGTCCCTCCCTATTTAATAACAATCGTTATGGATGTCCCATTGGAATAAAAGAGCTGTGCAATGTTGCAACACACATAAAAAAATGAGATGTTACACAGCATGTAACCTGAAACCTCTTATGATCACTTCACAGTGATAATAATAGAGTAATACAGTGTCTTGCAGAAGTGCATGTAGACTTCCAAAGCATCAAACTGGCTTGTAAAGATAAAATCCATCAAATGCAGCTAAGTTCTTTAACCATGAGCCACCAACCTGCAGTAGAACTGAGATCCATCTTTGGCGAGGAACCCATCGTAGTGGACGTTCATCAGATCTCCTCTTTTGCTCTTTGGGCTGCACTCCTCGGGTCTGAACAGAACTTCAATCTTCACCTCGCCGTCCAGCTCGTCTGCTGCCGCCCGGACCGACCATGAACTGAGCTGAGCGGACACAAAGAGGCACAGTGTGCAGCTCACTAACCTCCACATCATGCCGCTGTGTATTCGTGGCAACTTCTGAACTCAGCGGAGGACGTGGAGAACTGCCTGCTGCTGACTTTTTGAAGGAGGGTTTGCTGCCCTGAGTTTGGACTGTCAGGGATTTCTGCTTCCTGGTGCGTTCAAATACCCCTTCTTGAACTATGAGTGACTCCAGCCCTGGCTCTGGTCCTCTTAACCCTCTCTCATTGGCCTGGAGAAGGTTGCTGGAGGCGGTGGGTAAACGCTGCCTGACAGACTGAACTAAGGGCTGTAATAACCCTGGCGCTTCAATTTCATTCCAGTGGTGGAATGTAACTAAGTACATTTACTCAGTTACTACAAGTTTGGGGTCCTGGTACTTTATTTGAGTACTTTAATCTCATACCTTCTTTATACTTACACTCCATTTACTCACCTACATTTATTTAAAAACTTTCATTACTTTACAAATTAAGATTTTTGCTCATAAAACCCGAAAAAGTACAAGTACAGCTGAAAGTATTAGTTTATTAATCAAGTAGTTGATTTACGGGAAATTAGCAATGAACACTTTAACTTGTAACAGAGTATTTCTACAGTGTGGTATTAGTACTTTTACTCAAGCATGATGCAATAATCTGAATACTTATAGATATCTAACAAAAGATGCATGAAAATGACAAATAATAAACAGTAAGTTGTATATAGCTGGTTTTAGTAGTTCCAGGATTGGAATCAGTGATAATACTTTAAATTACAGCTCAGTTGAATCAAGTTTATTCCATTTTATTTTATGTATGTATCGTATATATATATAATTCCTTTTTTATCTAAGTGTCTGTCATTGTATCGTACAGTATTTAATTGTATTTTGCTTATTCTTTTCAATGTTTTTACAATGTGGTATTAGTACTTTTACTTAAGTAACATTTTAAGTAACCTCCTGTTCCTGGTTGTGTGGCTTGTCTTGTTTTCTGTGCAGGTACTTTAAGAGGTTCGTGGCAGAGGGTCGTCAGGCCTGTGTGCCATGCTCCTTTAAAAACCCTCTGGGAGCTCGTACTCTCTCTCTCTCCTCCCTGAGACAACTAACTGGTTTTTGGGTTTGATGGTTTGATTGTGTTGGTGCATCTTATTACAACACAGCACTCACTTACACCACTGATCCTACTGATTTCACACACTACTGTTAGTTTAGTTTAAGGTTTTTTTCCCCTTAATAAATCATTTGTTAATTGGCTTTGTTGTGTGCGTCTTCCTCCTTTTTGTCAAGGTTTGTTACAAGTGGGGGCTCGCCTGGGATCAAATTTGGTTTGTTTGTGGCCATTATTTGGTACCCTGATTGATGTAGGGTATTTGTTTGCAAGTGCATTGGTTTTGGCTGAGGCGTGTGTTAAATTTGGCACATTCTTTGTTTGGGAGATGCATTTTTGGATAAGATTTGGTTGATTTGATTGTTGTGTCAGTCAGGGGGAGTTTTGTCCTGCATTCAGCAGGTGTTGCCATGAGTAGGCAGTTAGGAGCTATTAGAAGTGATTGTTTGGTCCTCTAGTGTGGTATGATTTGGCTTCTGTGGAGTTTTCCTTGTTCAGGTATTAGCAACACGGTCCATTTGGGCTTGTTGGGTTTGTAAAACAGGTTGGTAGTGATGCTAAAGTACGTGTTAAGATTTTGAGGGACACAGGAGCTGTCAACTCCTATACTTTGGAGTCTATTTTGCCGTTCTCTGAGAAGACTGATAGTGGGGATAAAACCCTTATGCGAGGGATGGGGTTGAACGTGTTGCCTGTCCCAGTGCATGGGATGAGTCTGGATTGTGAATTGGTGCAAGGTACCTGTTGCTGTGAGACCGGCATTACCTGTAGAGCGTTTCTTTCCCTTAATAAATAGTTTGTTAATTGGCTTTGTTGTTTGCATCTCTTTCCTCTTTGTCACGGCCGTATGGCCCGATTTGTGACAAATGCAAGACAATATCTTTACAGTGTGGTATTAGTACTTTTACTTAAGTAACATTTTATTTTTGGAACTTTTTATTTAAACATTTGAATCATTTTACATAACATTCTTTAAGTAACATCTTCAATGCAGGCCAGTATCTTTACAGTGTGGTATTAGTACTTTTACTTAAGTAACGTTATAAATGCAAGATAATATCTTTACAGTGTGGTATTAGTACTTTTACTTAAGTAAGGGACCTGAATACTTCCTCAAACACACTGGGCAATGTGACGTTTATAAACAGATGCTAGAAACGTCTGTGCCACCGGTTCAATCATCCTATACAGTTCAAGAAAAACCCATAACACGAGTTGACAGACACAAAGACACTCCAATCACTGCGCCGACAGCGTCACAAATGATCTCTGGAGGCGGACTTCGCCTCATTTCCACCAATAGGAGCGGCGGAGGCGTGAACTGCGCCTGTATTTATTTCAGGACGCCGGTGTCCGTGAGTCATCGCCTCTCAGACAGTCAACGTGGTTGGAGACGAGCCGTAACAACCCTCCTGCTGCTGCTGCTACCGGATCTATTTCGCACTACGACTTTTCTCTCCAACTGCCTGACAGGATTGAGATGTTACATTTTAGGTTTTCCACAGTGCTCAAGGAGTTGTTAGAAGCCACCCTCAAGCGTCCCTTGTCCGGCTCTAGACAGAAAACCTGGTTGCCGACCCGCCACTGCTGCTTCGGCACCGCCTCCCTTGATGCCCGAGCTCAACTGAAGGTCCTCCATGCCGCTGCGCACCGCCCGGCGTTGCGCACCGCGCCCTTCGCCGCTCCGTTCCGCTCCTACTGCGCGAAAACCGAAGGCGCAGTGGAGCTGGACGAACAACTGAAGAAAGATGGGGACAGCAGTGAGGCTGACAGCGACAAGTAGGTTTCCAGCACTTTTTTTTTTTTTCTTGCGGAAATAAACGGATGTGTGATGGTAGAGAGGCGTTTATGGCGAGTCATGACGCATACGTTAAAGGCGCAAGCGGATGTTCGCCAACCGGCCACAAACGTTGCGTTACAACCGCATTAAATATCGCTCACTTACATATTACCCTTTTGTTTTACATTTAAGATACAGCTATTCTGCTTTTAGAGTAAATAAACCCAGTTATCTGTGACTGTAACGGCCTGTTAACGGCAGCCATCAAACCATGTGTTCACACCGGGAGCAGCCTCCGGTGGCCTTGTGCCAAGCAGCTTTATAAATACGCCGCTTTTAAAATACCGACGCGGCAACTTAACCCGAAGTTAATTAGGATTTTTATTTGGCCTCGACCGGCTTGTGTTTAACGTTAGGTTGTCTGTGCCTGTGGAGATAACACGCAGCGTGGTGCGGCAGTTTGTGAAAGTGAAACAGCAGTGGAGGATAAAAACCTCCATATTTAAGATTTATTTTTTATTAAATTTACACTGTAGATGCAGACAATATGAGAAAGAACTGGCTCTAAACTCAGATTAAAACTATGACCTATAAAATGTCATATACTGGGACCAAACCTTTAATGATATTTGATTTTAATTAGTTTTTGGTTGGTAATAATAATGTAGTAACTGGAGATCAGTCTGTATGGCTTCCAGTGGTTTCTACTGTGACCTCCCACTCTAGTTCGGTCAGTATCTGCTACTGGTGGCATGTTTCCATATAGTTTTCCTAGTAAATTGCAAGCAAACTATTTGTCCATATCTACACTAATTATTATCCTAAAGAGACACTGCCACCTCTGTATGGTGCTGTGGACAAGAAGTCACCTACATGACTGCTCCATGTTTAAGATTGGACTATTTCAGTCACAGATGCATTTGTTAATACAGAGAAACACACGTATAAGAGGTTGAAGATAAACAAATGCACCTTTCAGAATATATATATACAAGACCTTTACCCGATTGGAAGTGATGATTCATCTCAGTCAAGGTCAAGCTGAAGGTGTTGGACATTGATTTAGAAATTTAAGTTAAAGGTTATGATGGTATTTGCAAAGCTGTACAGCTTGAAATACATTACATTAAACACATTTGTAGCACAAAGTCTACTACTGATTTTCAAGCCAGCCATCCATATAATTAAGTTATTATTACCGTACAGTAGACTGGCACCGCGCTTTATTCAGATTTATAGCAGAACTTCAGATCCAGCTCTGTTTAGTTTGCATTTTCAAATGATCCCATTGTTCAGTATTATGTCGTGCATGAAACTCTACAAGCGCTTTTTGGATTTAAATGATCCATATCTGCCATTTCACATCTCAAGTGGTATTACTTGCAGCCAGCTGGCTGTCTCTACACCGACTGCAGTCCATGTGTTCCCTTTTGAAGCCAAGCAGTTTTTATGAGCCTGCTCAGTGTAGCCAAAATGACTGGGATGTTTCGTGACCTAGAAATGAAGATACACGAGTACGCACACAAGTATGGGGCGTTGCCGTCGCTGAGATATGTATCGACGGTTTGCCGATGTAAATTCTCCTGAGTCTGCTCCGGAGTCCTCCCTGGGCCAGTAGCTTTCCAGTCTCTTATAACCCCTTTTTCCTCTGAAGGAACTTAATGAAACGTGACTTAACGTGTCGTTTTTGTTACAAGGTCTATCTTTTTGTTCCCACTGCTCTCCCCGTGCTTCCAAGTTCCTGGAAACTAAATTTCCACACTTCCCAAGAGGTGATACCAAGTTCCAGGTATTGCAAACTGTAACTTCCTACTACATCTGTTTTGACCAGGACAGTTTTAAATTAAAAGCAATGAGGAGTTGTTAGACAAACTAAGAAGCCCATGCCATCATTAGTATTTAGGGAGCTCAAAGAGTGAGCTGAATACCACTAAAAAGCAGAGGAAACATAAACAAAAGTTCCTAGAAAGGTTATAGGCGAAGCCCCAGGTTACAGGTTTGTTATTCTCTCGCAGCAGAAAATGGCTACGTAGGAATGCAGCTCCTGTCTTATCCTGCCGTGTAGCTGACGACATGTCACAGGGCCCCTGAATCATTGCATCGCCTGTGAGCGTCCGAATGTGTGTGCACATGCTCAGGATAACCCCAGTCCTTTGGAAACTTACTGTTGAGTCCTGTGATTCATATTTTATGGGTCAGCTGCACAAAAAGAGGCGTTGATGCACGTGATGTCGCGTTGACCACATCGCCGATGATGACTCACAAGATAGACCTGGGCAGGAAATGTGGTTTGTGACTGGCAATGAGAAAACAATCTCATCTCTACTCTGATAGCTTTATTTTGAAATTGAGCAAAATGCTTCCAGGTTTTTTTTGACACAGCAGGGTTTAGTTAAAGCTAGTAGTGAATTAAAGTGGAGCTGTTGCCCTGATATAACTGACAGGAAAATATTGATTGCTTTTACCTCCCAGACAAGGCCTCACAGACATGTTGTGCTGTAGGAGCATCACTGGCACACAGCCATCCACTGAGAGCAATTTATGGGATCAGTTACAGCTTCAGTGGGTGGAGGTAGATGGGATTAAGACGTCAAAAACTGACAAATGACTGTTGTGATACACATGACAGAAACAGAAAGTGAGAAACAGACTTGTTTTAAGCTCCAACATGCTGCATAGTGAAACTAAGCCTGGTGTTAAGTCACTAATGTGACACCGATAAGGATTTCCCCACACTCTCAGGCCAGATCATTGAATGTCACAGCCAGCTTTTTGTAGCATACGGTCTCCTTTTCACATCTTTTAACTATTGTAATCTTAGATTTTCTTGTGCCATGGATGGGAAATACGGTTATTTATGGTCTGATGCGTCACAAAAAATGACCTTTTAAGCACTTTTTAACTGAAAAGCCAGTGGAAGCGTGTTAAGATAGCCGGACATGTGAGATGAATTAAACAATAAATGTGCCGCATGACTAATAAAATACTGGCAATTAATCCTGCGCTGTAATCCCACAGATCCGTAGTTCCTACAGGGGTAAAAAAGAGATTTTAAAACAGCTCCGTCTTTATCTCGTATCCAGGAAGCTCTCAAAGTGTTCTGCTTACACCAATGAGCAGTCATCCAGCAGCAAATGGACTGAGAGCCATCTGGCTGTGCAAAAGTACAAATGTAGAGAAACAAGGTGTTTTTAGGTTGTATTCACACCTGAGCTGCTCGTGCAGTTTAAACAAACTGATGCGTTTGCTCATTCAGTTCATTTCACGTCTGCTGGTGTCAACTGAATATATCAAACAGACCGACCACAAAATGATGTGACCACTTGTTAATTCAGCCATCTGCTCCACTGGCCCGTCTGTCAGTATTTATGACAGATAAGTTCAGTTGCAGTTGGATAAAAGTGCTGGAACTCAAAGCCACAGCGACTCGTAGGAGCCAAAACTCGTATATTTAGCCTGTTCAGCCTCAGGTTATTGGCACATGGGGTGTGGTTTTAACTTGTTTACCTTTATGTTATGTTACAGTTTGAGTCTTTTTCTTTAATAAACTGTGTAAATCGCATTAATATGGATTTCTGTGTTGAACGTGTCACAAGAGCCTACTTTGCCTCTCAGCAGCTTTTTTTCATCGATAGTAGTCACTACGACACTTTTTTAGTTCCGCTCTCAATCCCGAATTTTGATATTTGATGTTAGCAATACTGATACTGCCGAATTATAAACAAATTACATCCCCCTGAACGTTGGCCTTACAAACATTACAAGCTGCTGTGTTGCTTTTTCTGTGTTTCGAGACTAAAATATCTCTGAACCAAGCACACGTTGAGTTAGCCAGTTGTTACCAGCTTACTCAGTCACACTCAATTCTCTCATGTTTCCTTCTGGAAATCTCTGTAGAACAGTTTAATTACTAATTAATTAATTTCTGCTAGAACATTTTGACTTTTGGCTCAAAATTGAATTATTACATCATTCATAAAACCACCAGACCATGGAATCTGGATCAGAGTCCCTAATCCGATACGTGAATCAGGTCGATACAGATACTGGACTAGATCTATCCCAACCATACTTTGAAGAGAAACTATTAAAACATATCGTTCTTACTTTTGATCTTTATTACAGATACTGTAACCTCGTCAAGTATTGTCATTATGTTTACGGTGTATTTATTCTTATTGACAAAGCTTTCATGGGATCATTGAGAACAATGTTTCTTGCTCTGTAGTCATTTATCTAGAGATAAAAAGCAGTAACACGATCCTTAAAGTGCCTCAGGGGACCTGCAGGAGACAGATTATAAAAAGAATATTCATAAATCGATGTAGTTGTGGTTGTTGCCGCAATATCCTGGCTGTTAGCCCATAGTATGAGTCAATCTGCAGAAACACTGGATCTCCCATCATGCAACTAACAGCAGCTTTTCTGTTAGACCTTCCTATGAAAATTGTGGCCATGTCTTTTGAAAACCACACCCCCACTATTTGTAACTTTTTTTTTAGGGGTTGTTTTTATATAAAAAATATGTAGTCTCCAAGCTAAGATACCACTGACGTCATGAACAAAGCTCCTCCAGAGCCTCAGAAGAACACTGTACGACTGTTTTCATAGGAGTTAAGACGCCTCGAAAAAGTTCATCAAGTGCCCCTTTATTTGGCCAAATACTTCCCACTTTGTCCTCGTGTTTTCTGCAGTCGCTGTACAAAGTGCTGTATGTTTGACAGCAGAACATGAACACTCTTCCCCTGCTACAGAAAGTGTGCTTGTGCTTAATGAGCTTTTCACAACCCTGAATAATTTCTGTCTAACTTCAACCTCAAACATTTTTTCATTTTAAGTATGGTAGCACAGGTAGTTTAATGGATGCTTAATTCAACTAATTTAATCCAACTCAGTCGTAAGCATGTCACTGTAGGGTGTATCATCCCGGCACAGCGCACCTGCACACTGGTTTGCTGGGTGCTTTGTGACTGCCGTTCACCTATTGACTGCTGGATGGAAGGGCTGTTGAAGTGGCAGATGTCAGGTCAATAACACTCCCTTTGAATTAGACATGCCTGACGGACAACATTTTAGTCGATCTCGGTTTGTTTGCACATTGTTCAAACGTGGTTACCTTGGCTGTATGTGGAGTGTTTACTCCGTGGAGAGAAGAGAATGTGCCAAAAAAGAGGAGAGATGAAGGGCTGCATGATCTTTAGAAATAAGGTATTGGTTCTTATCTGAAGGGAGTTACTGCTTGTTATCGAGAGAAAGAGACTTTGATTTGATTGGACAGTCTGAAAGGCGGGAAAGTTGGAAAAAAGTTGTCTGGCTTTGTTTGTTCAATGTCTACTAGTTACCCTCAACATGAGGTCACTACTGAAAATGCCCAATTTTCCATAAAGCTGCAGTTTTCCTGCTGCTTCTCCTTTTCACTGTGGCTTTAAAATTCGACCACAAGGGTGTGAAAATCCTGATTTAAAAAAAAAAAAAAAAAAAAGCTTCTATACTGAGCTGCGTTTGCTCCACTGCAGACCCCGCTGCTGTGTCATGACCAGCGTGTGAACAGGCGACAGTGTTGGCTTTATTAATCCAAGAGCCACAGAGGGCTGTGTCGGGCTAGAGACAAGAGAATTCCTGGAATTTAGGACTGGGTCTAACCCTGCTCCAGACACTACTGCCAAACCTACGAGTGAGCTGACGTGTAGTAGGGGGTGTTATCTTTACATAGTCATAATATTTCAGTACCTAACAGCATGCACTGATGGTGGTATTTGGTGTCAACTGTTTTTGAAGGATTTCTGAAAATGATCTGATGTTTTCTATACAATTCTGGATACTATTTCTATCCTTTTTTTTTATTGAAGGCCATTGCTTTAGAACTGTGTTTCCCGACATACTGTGTGGAGAGCAAGTGAACCACGTAGTGACATAAACAAATGAATAGAAGCAGTTTCTATTGGTTACCCTCACTGATGGTTTGTGAACAGGTGCTTTGGTTGAAGGAGAGATTTCTAGCTCTCTATCTCTGAGACATTTCAACATTTCTAGTTTAAGCATGCATCTGAGCACGAGCATGCAGTCCAAATAATGTCCAAACCACTTTGCCGCAGCAGATATGCGCTGACACTCCTCTCCTTGCCGGCGTTATGCAAAACACTACAGAACACCATGGAAATATTCAGCAGTGAAGTAAAGCTGTGAAACAGGCTGTGTTTTCTCTTTAGCCGTCATGCATACTGTATCCTGTTGACAGTTTGAATGTGGGACTGTCTGTATCACAGAGGTAAATGAGTTTGCTATTTGTAGCAACTTTACCCCATTTTCAAGTTCAGCTTCTCCTCCATAATCTTAATGCATAATGTTACCCATCAGGGATCACTGCCGTTCTCTAGTATTGTGCTTTCTGCATAATGAAGCCTTTGATCACTCTACTCTACAAACAGACACACACACCTCTGTGGCCAATGCTTCCACTTGGATTGCATATTTCCAGTGTGCGCCTTTCAAATCCCTCACTAATGTGTTAAGACTGCATCAACAGCTACAGATAAGCTCTGTTTGTTCTGGCAGGACAGGTGTGAATAGCCTTCAGTGCAGTCCTCAACCGTGCTGTCACTGCGCTCTATTTACTTCCATTTTTCTGCCTGTCCCATGTATTTAGCTCCAGGGTTGACAAGAATAAAGAGAGGGTTTTTTAGCAAAGTTTACTTTAAAGAGTACTTTAACGTGACTGTGTCTCATACATGTGTGTTTGTGTCTATCTACTACTTTCCACTGTAGGAGAAGAAATGCAGGCATTCTCCCGAGTTTGGAGGACTTGCTCTTCTACACAGTCGCAGAAGGTCAAGAGAAGATTCCTGCTCACAAATTTCTCACAGTAAGTCAGTAATGATAACATCAGGTTGTTTCTTCCACTTTTGATTGTTTTCTTTTTAAGTTGATCCTATCAAGAGGTGGTTCTAAATACTCTTTATTTCAGGCGCTTAAAGCCACTGGGCTTCGGACTGGAGATCCCAGACTGAAGGAATGCATGGAAACCCTCAAAGAAACTCTAAAGAACACAACAGATGGCGTTACACTGGACAGGCACCTCTTCAAGAAGTAAGGCTTGTCGTGTCATGTTTGTTTGGGTGTTTTATCTCCATCATATACACCCATGATAGTGGCTCTGTGAACTGTTTACTCTCTTCAGCCTTCAAACACCATTTTGATGACCATATTTTTTTAAAGGGCAAATTCAAACATACTTAATTGTTTAAATTTGCATTTTGGCAGCAGTTTTTGTGTGACTTTAATTCTATGCGTGAGATCCTTCTATATCCTTTTAAATATACTACACAGTTTGTTTTGAATTGGTTATGAAACAGTCTCAATTTAATACTGATGCCTCTATATGACCTACATGAACAAACACGACCATCAGTGAGAAGATTGTGTATTTCTGTGTAGTTATTAATGCCTGCCATTGGGTCACATTCCCATTGAAATCAGAAGAATAGGTGGCAGCTTTTGTCCACAATGATACTTCCTTATAGGGTGGATTTGGACCAAATCAGGCCGGGCGAAAAAAAAGTGACCTGCGGTGGAGAAGTTGAAAGACAATTTGCAAATTTTTAGGGAAACGCAACCGGGCGTTACTGCGGTGGCCAGTCCGGTAATCAGACTGGTCAAACTGCTTCACAGTCAGCCTGAAATATCACTGAAACAGACCAGATCATGGACCAAACTACGATACCCTCCCTGTTGTGTTTATTTCATACACCCACCTTCCACGTCTGTGTCTATGCTGCAAAATAGTGATACCAACAAGCCTCATTTGGTCTTTGTCTGTTTGGTTTTGTAGATTGGTAGCATCAGAATTATTGGTGACTTGCTAGAAATATTTCACGATTCAACTGTATGTTCAAAATTTCTAATACTGTAATGGTGTTAAGAGATAAGTGCTTTGAGTTGTAGTTGCTATAGTTCACTAACATGCTTTTGCTTTGTATCATACAGAAACCACCACTCTCAGTCTTAAAGGGAAATGTACTAGACAGGCTCAAAACATCACAACAGTTTATGTAATACTGGAGTGAGTCATAGTCGGGGGGGGGAGTAGCAACAGCCACTATAAATGGATGTCAGCGTAATTGCAAAATGCACTAAGATGTAGTTTTTGTAATAGCTAATAGATGTTTTCTCATAGAAAATTCTGGATTGCACTTATTAGGAAACCCGCAACTTCCGTCCTGTCTTAATATAAGTCAATAGATTTTTGTGTACAGGATGTTTAACTCATTATTAAGTTTCACTTCTACTTGTGTGTGCTTTGGTGGCAATCAGAAAAAAAATATTGTTGTATAAGTTACACATTAAGGCTTAAGGAGATATTTGTTTTGGAGTTTGTTGGTGTCACTCCATGGTGGTTGCCTCCCTCACCTTTTCTCAAATTAAACCTTTTTGTTTGCTCCACTAACCTTAAACTTGAGAACCGACACTTCTCTGAAACCCTCTGATAATGTCACATATACTACGTCGGTGTTGTTACTACAGTCTGTTGTTTGAAATTGATCATTCATCACTATATGGATTCATGTTGGATCACACTATATGGATGAAAAGCAGCTGATCAATATGTAACGATGAAGCTCCTTCATCAGCCACTTTTTATTAACATTCATAGAAGTTTGTCGGACATCAGGGTTGCAAACTTGGTTGACAAACTTTTCCTTCAATCGCATGCAGTCACAATATTTTAGCATGCTATTTGTGGTTTATTCATCAGGTGTGTCCAGAGCAACATTGTCCTGCTCACTCAGGCCTTCCGCAAGAAGTTCGTCATCCCAGACTTCCAGTCCTTCACCTCCCATATTGATGAGCTGTATGAGAGTGCCAAAAATCTCTCTGGAGGACAGGTGTGTCCTTAGATCCATGATTTTTTTTTCTTCCAGTGCATCGTCATAATGATTTAGCCCATACAGATTCATTACCATCAGTCTGTTCTAACACTCTAGTTTCTGTAAAATACTGGAGAGGAAAAAACCCACCCCAGAACACATTAAAAGAATTATACTGGTGTTTTTCAGCACACATTGGTGCAGGATTCTCTCTGGCAGCAGGTTTCTGTATGTCGTGTCACGTCATTTTAGGATCTAGCTACATAAATGCTCCGATATTTTAAAAGATAGAGCTGCAGAATCATGAATTCTGGGTACCTCCCACAGCGAAACTTAGCTGAAAAGCATCTGGTGACTTTGTGTGCAATGGAGGCGGCACATCGGTGGTCTACGCCCACCTGAGGCCAACAGAAGGGTTTGGAGTCACAGAAGAATGATCTCTTTTTAACTTGTCAAAGCAGGTGAAATTAGTAACCTTAATGATGGCTGTATTCCATTTAGGTGAGCTTGTCCCAGTGCTCTGGTATTCTACATGGCTTACTGCGACACTTAATGGAATGGAGCCATTGTTAATGTTATTGGTTTTCCTGCTTTGACAAGTCAAAATGTCTGCAATGAAAAGGGTCTATTGAGGGAGCATGAAGTTGACAAAATCAACATAAAGCTATGCATAGCACCTATTGTGTGATAAGCTATTGGTGAGTCTTAGACGCTACACAGCCCAAGACATGTGCATCATCCTTTCCCCCACATACATTAAACACTGAAGATTTAAAAAAATATGTTTTTATGTGTCAAAAATAACTGCTTAGTGTGCAGTGTGGACCTCCGCACAAGGTCCAAAGTGGAGAAGAAAAAGAATTGTGCAGGCCCAACACACGCACACACTGACTGGTGACAATGAATGAACAGTACTCACAGTAAATCCACACTCTCATTGTCTGTGGGAAGTGACTAATTCGCTTTACAAAGCATGCTGGGACACCTGGTGACGCAGACCAAGGTGGCAATGCGACGAGAGGACGTTAAAAAGTCACAAATATTCAAACGGCCGTCAATCGAGCTGTATGTACAACCAGGCGAGCCGTCTGTAAACTAATCAGCAGAGTATTTGGGCCTGCAACGATAGTGTGAAGGTACTGAAGGAAAGAAAAACATCTCTGGGGGGCGTAGAAAGGCATTCTGGAAAATGCGGGAAATAGCTTGCAGCAACAGTGAAAGTGGATAACGGCCAAAGTAAACAAACACTTTGTCCCAAAGTTAACTCCTGATTCCGAGGGTGGGTTTTTCCTCTCTGGTCCTCAGGTGAGGATTTGACCTCCTTGTCTTATTGTGTATTGTCAGCGGTGTTAACTTTCCATCGTAGCCTGAGCCTAGGCAGACGTCAGCGGTGTGTAAGGTGAACCGCTGCTGCGCCGACACTCTTTCAGCTGCCTTGCTTCTCTTTCAGGTTGCAGACTACATTCCTCAGCTCGCCAAGTTCAGCCCTGACCTGTGGGCCGTCTCTCTCTGCACAGTTGACGGACAGAGGTGAGACACAGCACATTACTTTTAATGCTTTAATGCTTTAATTTGTTTCTCAGTTAATATTATAAGGGCAGCTGTTCTCTGTGTGTGTGAGAGAGTCCAGCTTCCTGTCGGTTAAACAATTACTGGACGGCATCAAGTGAAGAATGATAACAAGCCACTTCTCTATTTAAATTCCAGTGTCAGGTGTTTATTAGTATTGGTGAACTGTTAAATAACCCCACCCCCACCCATGAGTGTGTAACACATGTTTAATCTGAACATGATGATTAAAGTCCTGGGGGTGGATAGAATAAAAGGAACTAATTAATAATGAAGTGTAATAAACTATTTGTGAACTTGCAGTGTTCACTATATGTTTCAAAGAAGTGTTGACTCCACTTTATGGCTGTATTTATTGCATTATAATGTACACTGTGTAGGCGATCCAAAGTGTGGCGTAATGATGTCAACAGGTGTTTTGATCAGCTTGTTCTCTGATAGGCCGCTGTAAAAGTCCAAGTGTGTGTATATTTGTTAAGATTGTGTAAGAGAGGAAGTCATAAAGATAACATGGCACTGAACAGATTGTGTGGTTCTGTTATTGCCACATGAAATTATTGTTTTCCCTGAGTGTTCAGGTTACAATAACAGAACCTGTTTCCCTCACGTATTGGTATCGATTATCATTTTGTTCTAGTTTTTCTCTGAATGTGTTGCTTCTAATCTCTGACATTGCAGCTGCTTTTTCCAGCTCTGATAACTTATCTTTTTTTTTTTTTTTTAGACACACAGTCGGAGACACAAAGGTCCCCTTCTGTCTGCAGTCCTGTGTCAAGCCTCTAAAGTATGCTGTTGCTGTTCATGACTACAGCACGGAGTATGTGCACAGTTTCATTGGGAAGGAGCCCAGTGGCCTGCGCTTTAATAAGCTCTTCCTGAATGACGATGGTGAGCCTTTTTTCTTTATTTCTTCCCTCACGTTCATGCAATATTCTTCTGCCTGTGGGTGTCTGATAAGCCCATCAGCCCATACACACCATGTTCCCTCCTCAAGATGTTGCAGTAGAGATCTGGTGCAAGCATGACAATGAAGAGTGTCCTGTGTGCAGTATGCATTATAATATATTCACATCCTCTGTGTGCAAACTGTAAGGGACAACCTACAATACCAGCCTCTGATTTAGTGCTTTAATGCTGTTTTTGTCTTGTAAACAATGGAGCATTTAGGTTAAAGGTAAATGCAAATCATAGAAAAACAAGTTTATGAAAGCTTTTAAAGGTTTTCCCCACTACATGTTTCACATATCTGCCATATCTCTGTAGATATTTCACTACATTCCCCCATGAACCCAAAGACACTAGGTGGGGCCGTCTGTTACTACCTACCCAGATAGTTATTTACCAGTGCTCGTCGACTGTCAAGCTTTAGCGTCCTGGGGAGAGAGTGAGAGCTGCGACTGAGCTGCCAAGTGAATGAGTCAGAGGCTGGCATCAGAGGATTTTAGTTTTTATTTTAACAGCGTTGTGAAAATAAACGCTGAGTTAAACTGAGCATGTGAGTGGCTACCAAACAACAGTGATGAAAGAAGTATTCAGATTCTTTTAAAGCAACATTAACACTGAAAGTATCAGTGTAGTCACTGTGCAGTAAAATGGTCCCTGTCAGTGTTTAAAGTTGAGCTCATTTAAACTACTTTGTATACTTTAGGGTAGTTTATTCTACAGCAATGCATCATATTCTATAAAATCATCATATGTTTGCAGCGTGGAGAACCACGTATCTCTAAAAAGTCCATAAGTTTTTATGAAAAACAGCCCAGTTCGCAGCTTAGTGACAACACGTTTTCCAGTGTGTAGGATTTAGTTGCATCTAGCAGTGTAGTTTCATATTGCAACTCAATTATTTCACCTTCCTCTCCAAGTGTGAGGGAGAGTCTACGATGGCCATGTAAAAACACTGACAGCCCTATCTAGTGTTTTAGTGATTATACACTAATGAAAATATTATATATAGATTCAATTTCTGCCAATAGATCCTCCTAAATGTTACACACTAGATCTTTTTTATAAAGTAAGAAAACCCAAGCCAACCTAACCCAAGGAACACTCTGCATCCTTCAGTTTATCAGATAAAATCACCAAATTTGGAGATAAATAGTTTTCACTGGACAGGAAGGGTATGAAAAATTGTAATCTGAAAAGAAGTAACTAAAACTGTCAGACAAATATAGTGGGACCAATACTTAAGTAAATATACTTTCACCCATGCCAAACATATGAATTATGCTGCAAAGGCCATTTCAATATGAAGATAAATCTCACATTAGTTACCGTAGTCACAGTTTAAGGAAATGCTTCAATCCTCAGTGGTACTTGTCGTCATATCCTGTGTTGGAAATGTTGCCTCTCGGCTGCCAGGATAGCCCCGTGTTTGTTGTGTAAGAGGATCACCAGTGAGGAAATGTAGGTGACGTAAGTTTAAATGAACTCCTTTAGACATCCGAGGGAGGAAGAGTTCCTCTCATCTGGTCGTTGAATTTGAGGAAGCTCACTTCACCCGGAGCAAGTTCTGAAAATGGAAAGCTATCTCCTGCTTCACCTCTCCTGTAGAAGTTACTGATTTCTTTAGATGAAAATAAATGTCTTTGGTTCAACAGTATTTGATTATTTTTGACTCAGTGCTGCGCAGACAACCATCCGCCCCCACACCTCCATTAAAAAAAAAGCCCTTTTGAAACATGATACTCCTGCCTGGCTTAAGTTATTTTACAAACCCCACCAGGATTTGCTTTGTAGTTACTGTATGTAGGTACAAAGTTAAGTTCAGTTCATAGAACATAGAGATACAATACGTTTCCACACAGACTCTTTCAGCCTGCCAAAATATACTCAGGAAAACAAAACTATACATTAAAGGCATTCTGCTTCTATTTTATTTATACTTATTTATCTTACTATTAACATTCTCTTTCTATTTTTATCTGTAGTATCTTGAGTCAGTGTGCGTTCTACCTGTATTAGATTGCCATTGTTTGATCTGTCTATATACAGAGCGCTAAGACGTCGAGATTGTGACTGAATGTTTACACTTTGATCCTCTGCATCAGGCCAACCGAGCTCTTGTTGTTTTGCAGATAAGCCTCACAACCCCATGGTGAACGCTGGCGCTATTGTGTGTACTTCACTGATAAAGGTAAAAGCAGTGTAACTTTTGTCTTTCTTCTATCTTCATGTTTGTTTTTATGTCCGGTCTGTGTCTCATTTCCACTGAAGCCTTAGCTAGAGAATACCTTATAAGGTGGGTATATCACTGAGCTGCTTTATCAAGCATATAAATTGAAGGTTAAAATAAATACTGGCAGCAGATAAGATTTGACTGTTTAACAATGACCTACGTTTGTTTGAACACAATCAGACCCAATCAAGAAGACTCCCAATAATGCAGTATTTTGCTGTTTTATCGCCTTTTTGTTATTCTCAGTAGATTATAAACTTCCGTGTGTGCTCAGATATTTACGACTCTTGACTCAGCTGGAATTGTTTCTAGGTCACTACCTGAGTCGGCCACTGCCGTGTGTCATGTTGTGGCGATTAAGACTTGCGCTAATCCTTCCTGAAGGCACTTAGGCGCCCTAGCACACACACTGTTACTGTCCCTGCTGAAAATAACCTGCTAGTCAAATGCAGGTGCGCAGAGAGAGAGACCAGCCACAGTCTGCTCATGAAGAGAGATAGGAAGTCCGATTGAAACCTCGCCCCCTCCATATCTCTTGGCACCAGAGTTTGGATTTGAATTCTAACTCAGGGTGAAGACAGATTGACAGCGAGTTGGCAGAAATACATCGCCCGTCATCCGTCAAGTCAAGCAAGCTGCAGCTCTCAGGTTCACTCATAACAGAGGAAAGAATAAACGTGGCTTAAATGCCAGGTTTGTCAGTAGGTTGTCACATTGGCAGTTTTATATTCTTAAGCTCATAACAGCTGCTAATGATCACTCTCAGGTTTAATGTTTAATTCTTTAACCCCACCAGCCTCTCTTCACATAATCAGTGCTGGCAGTGAATTATTAGCGCTCACACACATACGTACTCACATAAGAGCTGTCTGTAAAGACCTGCAGCTCTGTTGCTTCTTACATCTGCAAGACTGTATTGCAGTTTTCTTCTTGCTTTATTGAATTAGGGATTTTTTTCCTGTAACTTCTGGTATTTGTCTGTAACTTTTCCTGGAAATGACCTTAGGTTATGCCAAGCTTTTGTCCCAAGCTCTTAGACTTTGACCTGAATTGTATGACTAATGATGCGCGTCACCCTTGTGGCATTCTGATCGATGTTGTAAGAAATAATACGCGATCAAAGCTTGGAGGTGTGATTATTAGGTTTTTTTTTTTTACTTGAGAGGAAGCAATCCAAACAGAGTAATTAAACTATAGATGGTCCTAAAATAAAGCTCTATGTACGGTGCATGCTGAATCATGTGGCCTGTTTGATCATGATTTGATTTTGGAACTTTTGTACTTTTAAAGAAGTAGGCAACAACAGAGTGTTACACTTCTCAGGGTCTGGTACCTCCTGTGTTTTCAGTGTCCACATAAAATCACATACCCTTTTTTAAAATTGAGTTTTTTTTCACCTGTGCTTCTTGTGCATTACCATCCTGCAAATATAACCCTATTTAACTTCCGTATATTTTGCCTCATATTCTTGACCTGACGGTTTCTGTTGACAGGGAAATCACTCAGACACACACTGGCATTTATCTGATTTGTTCTGTCATTTTACCATGACAGAAAACTACCACAATGCACAAGCTTATGCAAGTAGATTTAAATAAGAGGAGCAGGTTTGGACTCTCTAAATCCCATATGTATAAATAGTGCCTTTTTACTGTGCATTTAAAACAAAGATGACACCACAGTTGACACAGTAAGCCATTAAACAGTGGTATGTGTTTGAAGTTGGTTACATTGAGTTAATTTTTAAGCAAAGCACTACTAATTACCTTTCTACAGTGCTGCTCGGCAACATTTATGCTTATGGGGCAATATTAATGAATAATCCATTATGCACTATGCAGGCGCCTAGACACAGTTTTCTATTTACATTTTTGGAACACATAAGAGAATATATTGGTAGCACTTTATTTAGGTAGTCTGCTTACAGATAGTTTAGAGTATTCCCCAACTGCTTATCAGCCGAGATTCAGCAACTATTGAATTAAACATCTACAGACAAATGATGACAAGTGATGTTTAAAGGCCAACTGTCACTTCTTTTTGTAATTTTATTACTGAGACATGTCGCTGTTTCTGTTACTGTCGTCACACAACTGCTCGACTTTAAAAACTCTAAAGGCACAAAATACTAAGTCCAGGATTTACAGTTTGTGACTTGCAGAGGAAGGAAGAATTTAGATTAAATTGTGTTAAATGGTAGAATAAACTAAGTCATCACAGAAAACGGGGAGCAAGTTGACTTTTTAAAAGAGTAGTTCAACATTTTGGGAAATGCACATTTGCTTTCTCTCGGAAAGTGAAAACAAGATTGTTATCAATCTCGAGTCGTGCCAGTGCGATAAAGATTCAAGATTTCAGTTAAAAAACCATAAGGAATTGTCAGGTGTCTCTCCAGTTTCCCCTCAGCTCTGTGTAGTATTTTAATGGTTTTTTTAGCTCATTGTTTAGATTTTTTTGGCAACGTTACTGTTGTGTTCACTGTCTCAGTAAGCCACAGTGGACTGCCGCCCAGCACCAAACAGCCCACAGATGAAAACAGCATCTAGCTGGTGAACATACTCACTGACGTCTCCACGAAGCAGCCCACGGTCACTGCGCTGTAGTTTGCCAAGAAATAGTTCCAACTCTCTCTAAAACCTCTAAAAATGATTGCTTTAACATTTCCATTTATGTACGGGTTACAGAAATGTAATACAGTGTGGTAATTAGTGAGCTTTAGTGTTTTTGAGCTAAGGAGAGCAGTTCTGTATGCACACATGTGATAAATATAGATCTTCTCATGGAAAGAAAATGCTGACTTTTTTCCTAAAATGTTAAACTAATTCTTAAACATTGCTGGCAGTGTGAGCAGATCTATACTGACATCATTCTGAATAATCTATTTCAGTAAATCTATATCTATAATACCACATAGTCCAGTGAGGTCCTTTTTTATATAATAGCTGTACTCCTTTGTTTGATTGATGTGCAGGTTACTCTTCCATCACACAGTAAACCTGTTAAACTGCCAGTCACACCCCAGAAATAATCACCTCACATTTGCAGACAATACTGTGTGTCCACATCCGCTCACCATTGTCATCAGTGTCTCAATGTGTTATTTTTTTTTCTATACTGAAGCACAAATGTGAACCTGTTGGTCAGGTTGCCCAGTTTGCTTTAACCTCGGTGGGGAAAGTATGGGATGGTTGCCGTGGCTGTTTGCCCCAAACTGTTGTTACATGGTGCTTGAAGGCTACATGTTGTTGCTGTTTTTGTATGTTGTTGCATATTTTCCAGACTTAGGAACTGTGGGAAATAATGACTGCTGCTGCAGGTCAAATGACGTTGGTAATTTTTTCTTCCTTTTCCATATCTATCTCCTCGCACTCTCCCAACCCCCCTGATCCCCCTCCCCCCCTTCTTTTTTCTCCTCCAATCAGCTCTGTAGAAACCCCATTTAGTGACTCTATAACACCTCCATCAGTGTCACCTATTTTTGCTTCTGCACAGTAAGGTGTAGAGATTTAAAATGTACATGAAGCATCAGCCTGTTTTTTAAATTTAAAGTTAAAAAAACATCTTTTCACACCATCCAAAATATGAATAATGTATAGTCTAATATAATGCTATAGCACTTTAAATGTGCATGCGTTTCCATGTTTCTTTTGCTGCGTTTTCTTTGTGGGGATGAGCAGCATCAATGAGCTTTATGACCTGATAAATAAATGTACACTGAGCTACAAGCTGTGGATTTTATTCCCAGAGGAAGACCATTCCTCCCTTATCTCCCTCTCCCCTCTGTTTTGGCTGACAGGCTCTTTGCACAGATGACACATGTTGACCTACAGTAGACACACATCCTCAAATGCATACGCACACACACACCTGCATTATGATAACCCATAATATAAACATTACCTCCATACACCCACATCTCTCTGCAGTTATACTTCATGTAGACTCACACACACAGTCAGGGCTGCTTCACATTGTGAAAAACTGTGCTTCTTTACCTTTTAGACTTAATATTTAATCCTTATTTGGAAATCAGTGAGATGTAAATGGTGAGACATGTTTCTGTTTAACTGGCTATGCTCTGGTAATGCACATGTCTACTAAATCTCCCTTTTCACTCAAAAAGACTTCCCTCTTTGTAACTTATCCGCAAGCCAATCTTATTAATATTTTTATCTACTTGTATAATTCTTGGCAAAGCTCATGTGATTTTTTTTTAATTATACATTTGTATTTGTAATGAATAAATCTATTCACATCTGCTAATTCTGTAGCATTATCATTTTTAGCATTATGTTTTATGATGCTGTGCTTGTCCTCTGCAACACCCCTCGCTGAAAGAACTGTACTAACTGCTTATTCTTTTGTTCTCTCCTCAGCAAGGTGCAGGCAACGCAGAAAAATTTGACTATGTAAGTATTGCAAGTCCGACCTGAGTCAGACATCGAAGTCAACAGTATTCAGAGTGTACTCATTACACAATGGGTTTTTGTGGATTCCTGTCTGTATTGTTGTTTTTTTGTTTTACAAAGTTTAGAAAGAGTGTAATAAAGTAATAAATGTGATTCTAAGTAAGTTTTGAGTATAAAGTGGATAAGTGACACAAGTATACTGAAAAAAACACTGGATTTTCAAGTATGCGGTTGATATACACTAGTTACTAGTTATATACTAGTGTCCCAGAATGCGCTATTCAAATAAAATTAAGTAGATGCTCACAGCTGCACATTAAAGCTTCTATAATCTATATTTCTTTAATATCCATGGAGAGATATCGCTTGCAGTGAACCTACAGAGAGCTCCCTTTGTAGCTTTATAATGACCTCTAGCTCATTGTTTAACTGTCAGGCTGCAACTTTACTGTTCTGGTTTATTGTCACCACCCTCATAGTGTTATCAGCTGCAGCAGGCAGCTGTTTTCAAAGAAAACGCTCTAAAGGCTCAGACACACCAAACCGACGTCAAAGAACTAGTGGCGACAGAAGTCGAATGTTGTCGCCTCACGTCACCTGTGTGTTCGCCAAAAGGTGACACTAGAACACGCCGCACTGACTACAGTGAACGGCCAAGAAGCATGTACTTTACGTGGTAATAACTATCCATACCAGCAGGTGGCGGTGGTCTGAATTCGTCATTTAAAAAATACCACTGGAAAACAAACAAAAGCAGCCCAATGGATGAAGGTTTTAATGGTTTCAGCAGCTGCTTCTAATAAAGAAATATGTGTATTTGAATAATCAGATGAGATGAAGTGAGAAAAATTAGACCATCCTTTCACGCATTCCTGAACGAAGTCGTTTGCTGCTTTGCTCGCTGATTCGCTTAAGCTTAACCGCCAATCAAAGGGATTTGTTTCAGCATCCACTGCTGATTCAACATGCTTAGTCGGTCAAAAAAGCCGCAGATGAGGGCTGACGAGGGCCAACAGTGTGCAACACACCGCTAAAAACTAAACTAAACACGCTCACTAATGACCGTGTGTCAGGGCCTTAAAAAAACAATTGTTCGCTACCTGTTCAGCATCGAACAGCAGACAGACACAGTTAGCGACTCACTAGTGAACGTAGTGGAGCTGCACTGATAGTATGAATCATAAAATGACTTTGATTTCTTGTATACTAACAGTAAATTTGGGATGATATGACAGTTAATGTATATGACGTACTGTTTACAGTTAGTATGTAGTCTGAAATTGGAACCATTGTGAATTTAGAAATTGAACCTCATACAATGAACTCAACACTGTTTTCCCTTCCAGGTCATGAACTTTCTGAAAAAGATGGCAGGAAACGAGTATGTGGGTTTCAGCAACGCCACGTAAGTCCATCTAAATCATGTTGTCAAAGTTTCTAGATCTCCTCTTTCACCACTCATAGCAGAAACGTACTCCATAGGGGTTCACCTTCAACCAGAAGTGCTAACAAAGCCTCTACCACACTATCTACTGGGTCATATAGATTACATATTCTTGCTTGAATACGAAGCACACTCATACCTTGTTCTTTAAAAGAAAGTCTTTAAAAAGTTGTTTTCCAGTCACTCTTTGTTAAATAAAACCAGGCTTTAATTACAGGCTTTAAGTGACTGTACATAGGAGAATGAAATATTGTTAATGAAGCTTGTATTGAAGCAAATTGGTCCACTTTGGACCTTTTATTACCCACAGCTGGAGGATCTGTTTTATTGATTAGGATGGGGATTGGACGTGGTATCTAAAGACTACTTGCATGATTCATGATGACACCACAGGCTAACAATGTTTCTGGAAAAAGACCCAAGCACTGGGGCTCACGTTGCAGCATCACCACATGATAGCATGAGAGCACTGGTTGTACTGTACACATGAGGGGGGGTGGGGTGACGAAATTCCAACACACAAGTGATAACACACATACACATACACACACACACACATACACACTCTCTCTCTCTCTCTTTCTCTCTCTCTCTCTCTGACACACAGTGTAAATATTTCCTTCCTCTGTGTAATGGGAGTGCTCTGCTCTTTGTGTGACAGATTCCAATCTGAGCGTGAGTCAGGCGACAGGAACTTTGCCATCGGCTACTACCTGAAAGAGAAAAAGGTTTGACATTGGATGAGTCATGGGGAACTGCTGACTTTATTATGTGTCTCTGTTAATGTTAAACTGCCCCACACAGCTGGAAAGTAACTGTGAGGATGAAGCTTAGACGTTTGTAAGAGGAGGAGCAAGTTACTGTTAAAGGGCCAATCAGAAAAAAACAGCATTTTTGTAATCCTCACTGGATTTATAATTTATTATAATTCCTAAGTCCCGCCCCCTTTTTGGTCTGTGCTCCAATAGCAGTTGAGGAAGCCTCAGTCAACTTTCTCCCTACTTAGATATGCTATGCACTGGGCTTGTTTAGGTCGCAAGCCGGCCCCTGGGGGGGAATATGGTGTGTAAAAAGGGGTGGGGCTTAGAAAGGGTTAGTTTACAGTGAACAAATCTATTTCTTTTCTTGAAATGCAGTAACATGAGAACATTTTAACTCTTTGTGTTTCTCTGCAGTGTTTCCCAGAGGGCACAGACATGACCTCTGTTCTGGACTTCTACTTTCAAGTGAGTGTAGCAGTTTTTGTTTTTCTTCCTGTATCAGTTTTCAACTCATCTGATGACAGAATATTGATTTCTACACTATTGATTTCATCCCTGAGTATCAGACATCCTGACCAGATCCAGTTTCTGCTCTTCTACCAATTTTTGCCACATATCCATTTCTTTCTGCTAATCTCCCTCTGATTTTCAGCATGTTTACGTCCCTGTATGCTTCAAATAGCTTCTACACCATGTACAGATGGGTGGTAAACTAAAGGAAAACCCAATATGAAGGGTGTTATTAAGGCGTTGATCCACCATGAGCCTTCAGAACAGCTCCAATACTCCTTATCATAGATCCGTAAAGTCTCTGAAACTCTACAGGAGGGATGAACACCATTCTTATTCTTCTTTTTATTGAGAGAATAGAGCAAATTTAAACAGTTTACATCTCAGTCTTACATTGGCAGTTTCATCATGTTTTTTTAAAGTAACTACAAATAGTAGAAATAACCTTGTATCACACAATACTTCTGTTCTCTTATCGCGCCATGACTCCATTCGGCAGGAGATGAAACAAGCGAGTGGAAGAAAACCGTGCTCGAGAAATGATACACATTCTGTTTTTGTGTCAACCTCCAGCTGTGCTCCATTGAGGTGACCTGCGAGAGCGCCAGCGTCATGGCAGCCACCCTGGCCAACGGCGGCATCTGCCCAATCACGGGTGAGCGCGTGCTGAGCCCCGAGGCGGTGAGGAACACATTGAGTCTGATGCACTCCTGCGGCATGTACGACTTCTCGGGACAGTTTGCTTTCCATGTAAGTAAAAGACTCCGATCATACGAGAGATCAATCTAGTTCTAGTCAACAACATGCACTGTAGCCACCCTCTTACAAGTAACCTCACTTGTGAATCAGAAAGTACACAGTCCCAACGACTACGGGGTTGCTGGCTTCATTCCAGATACAGGAATGACAGCTGCAAATTACTATAACTGCTGAATACAGAGAAGCCGTGCACAACACCTGTCATTAGTTTGAAATGAATCCATACAACATTCGAAGGACTTTATGCACACACTTAGCTAATTGTTGGTACAATTTGATCCTTGTCTTCTTGCTCTAATAAGTCTGTATAATACTGAAATAATTTTAAATATTGTTGAAAGATGTATCCACATTATAAAGCTGATGCAAGTCTTGATACGAGCATATAACTTTGCTGCTTGACTTGGAGGAGTAAGGATCGTTATTAGATCAACATTAGCCACAGGAGACATCCAAAATTTGCATCAATACTGGCCCACAGATGGTCGAGACAACTACATAATTAAGCATTTTAATAAGTATTCCTTATTTTATACACTATCCAACTTTATCATTCCTTCTCCATCCTAGGGGGAAAAAAATCAGCTAACAGAACACTACTGAATGATGCACATCAGAGAGGATTTAGACGTGGTTATACTCAGACTGAAAGATGATAATACTCTGTATACCTGCGTATAGCCAGCACTACACCACTGAGCATATATGCCTCAACACTATAAAGAGACAAACACCTAAGCTTCGGGATGGGATAGCTGTTACAGCACATCGTCTGCCTGAGCTGAGGTGTTTGTTATGATAGGACGTTTTAATGAGACACCTCTTAGTAAATGTAGAGAGAACGTGCAATGTGTGAAAATATCTTTTAGCATTTCAGTTTATCACGAAAAACCACTTTAGAAGTAGTCTAGTTTTTACAGCAACAAAGTGAAAGGCTCTTCTTTTGATCGTTCCTTTTTATTATATCCGTTATAGTTAATGTGGAGAAACAGTTTCCACATCTGAAGTGATGGAAAATAAAGCACTGCTAGAAAAATACTGACGTGTCCTTTTGCCTTCACTTTAACTGAATAATAAAAAAAAGAATGTAAATAATTCCTATTCCTACATTTTGTCACAGTGGACAAATCTGGTGAATTATTAAAGCCTGTCGACTTGTTCTTTGCTGACTTTCCGTTTTCAGCATTGTGTCGCTCCCATGCTGCTACTGTAGATACACACAGCTGGTCTTCTGTTATGTAACTGCTCTGTTGTCCCTGTTGTAGGTTGGTCTGCCAGCCAAATCTGGAGTAGCAGGGGGGATCCTGCTGGTTGTACCCAACGTGATGGGTATTATGTGCTGGTCACCTCCACTAGACAAGCTGGGCAACTCAGTCAGAGGAATACAGTTCTGCTTGGTACGTATTGTCCGGCACGCCTGCAGCGTGTACTTATACAAAGAATACAATTTAAAAAAGAGCTGTGTGTGACTGTATGCAGAGATGAGAAATGGCTTAGGATGAGGCGTTTTTGTACGCTAAAAGAGCGTTTTGGGCAGCTTGCATTTCAAATGACAGTCACTACACACACACACACACACACACACACACACACAGAGTCCAGGGCTGCATGATTATGGCCTAACTGATAATCACTATTATTTTGATCGATATTGAGATCATAATTATTCCACTATTTACAAAGCACTGGGGGTGGGGTGTGCGTAACATCTCGATCACCTGTTGTGGCTCGCTGTTAGTTTAGGGAGCGCTTGATTAGATATGCAGCAGAGTGTTCTACGAGCCTAGTACACATTTTAATTACGTTCATTTATCATGATTAATATTCGATTAATTGTGAAGCCCTCACCGATTTGGATCATTACTAGCAGTTTAACTAGTAATTAGTGGTTTATGCACTGCAACCCTGCTATAAAATCCCTCTGACAAAATCAACTGGGCCTGCTCAGCATTTATTTATACACCACAGAGCATGCAGTAGACCTGTGTGGAAGCATCTGCACTCCTTATGTTTCTCCACTCATTTATTTGGGGTTTTTCACCCGTTTTGTATAATCGTGTTACGAATCAAAAATCATATTTTTTTTCTTCAAGGAAATAATTGTTTTTGTGCACAAAGAATCACAAACAGAAAAGTACTACATGAAAACAGGTTAATAATTGGAAATTATGCAACAGTGTCCTTGAGGTTCAATTTGGCTGGCTTACTTTTTGAGTGACTCAACCTGTTAGATAAGAAAGTGACGGCTGATGAATGATTACCTGGAGGCCAGACCCAGATACAGAGCTCAGTAAACACTGCATGACAGGGCGCAACAATGCGCCTCTGTGCAAATCTGATCGGACTGTAAAAATGTATTTACCACTGAAATCATTGGCTTTTTGAATAGCGTAGAATAAAATGTATTTATCTTTCCTCTGTATTCTGTATTCTCTTTTCATTCCAGGACCTCGTGGAGCTTTTCAACTTCCACAACTACGACAACCTGAGGCACTTTGCCAAGAAGCACGACCCTCGCAGAGAAGGAGGGGACCAGCGGGTAAGGTCACTAAACATGATGTTGAGGAACAAACCATCAAAACCGGCACCCATATCCGTCATCCAACACACTGACACCAAACACCTTCTCTCCGAGAGTACGGGTGGCGCTGAGGCCACTGTAGTTCAGATTTAACAGCTGTTAGCGTTCTGCATCGGCTGTTCTGTAGCTGTTGGCTAATGTGTTGATCTGTATAACTCAAACACATGTGATTTGAGACAGGACGACCCCTGTCCCTGTTCTTTGTATGCGCTGTCTCTGTTTGCTGCGGGTGTTTTCAGGCATACTGAACGTTTCTTTCTAGTTTGCTCACTTTCAGTGAGTGAGTGCATGTTGTTCAGCTTTTCTGTGCTTTGGGTTATAGAACAATGAGCAGCTAAATGATCGAACATTTGTCATTACAGAAGCTGGCAATTTCTACCTCACAATGTCATTGCTGCGTCAACTAACCTTTAAAGAAGTATGACTGCTGATGAAAAACTAGAGCCAAATCAGTCTGCTCGATTATTTAATAACTATGTTGTAGGGATGGGAATCGAGAACCGGTTCCAAATTGTCCAGTCCACTGGAATCGTATCTTCTATTGATGCCGGCGTGTGTTTCTGATATTCCACACTGCGAATAAACAAACCATGATGGCAAACTTGTGCGTCTACGCTGCTGGAAACTACAGCCTGACCAATATGCGTTTTATGAGACCACTACCTATTTTACAGGGGAAAACCTCACCGATTATTAGCTGTCAGTATAGTGAATTTTTGATCTGAAATGACAATAGACTGAATATATAGGGTACATTGTCAACCACTTCTAGAAATTAACAGCTAAACATCAGTACTATAAAAACTATAAGCCTTTACCTATATATTGGTCGCGCTCTACTCGAAACGTCCAACACTAAGGTCTCATGGCGAAGAGGAGAAACAGTCCGAAGCGCAGCCTAAACTACTCTAACTCAGCTCTTTTTCTACACTGTGTAAAGAAAACTAAAAAAACCTTTTACAGGCGTTCTTTTTACCACACTAAAAAGTGATCCGGAATCAATGAAGAATCAAGCCGATAGGCGGAATCAATAATGGCATCGGTATAAATAAAATTGTATGAATTCCCATCCCTGATGTGAAAGCAAAGTTCTGAACCCTGTCCACTTTTATAAATAATTGAATGAACTGGTTTTTGCTCTGGTTTTTCTGGTTTTCTGTTTCAGCAAACCAGATACAACTTACAGACTACACATACTGTATAAACACACATACACAGAAGGAGCAAGACTAATTATAATTATTCGTGTCAATTAAAACAGCTGCACTCCTTCGGACCCATGGATTACGAGAGTCTCCAACAAGAGCTAGCTCTGAAAGCCCCTCTTTGGAAAAAGGTGTCCCCCACTGAGTCGCACCAGGACAGCTCCACCACTGTAGTCTATAGGATGGACAAAGTCGCCGAGTGAAATAACAAAAAAAACCCAAAAAAAACAAAGACAACCCCCCCCTTCCACACCCTCACCTCGACTGATCTCTCTCCCCTCCTCTCGCAACGCCACCATCTTTCCTCACCCTCGAATATTTATATATAAATTATGTAGAGGATTATTTATTGCTCATGAAGCGGATATGTGCGGACGAACTGGGAAGCTTCTTTTGTCTTTATTTGTGACAGGAAAAATGGGATCTGTTACTGCCTGCTTGTTGCCTTAGTGTGTGTGTGTGTGGGGGGGGGGGGGGCATCTGATGTACAGTGTACAGGTTGTTTCATCTCATTCTCTCAATGCAGTTCAAAAATGTAGGTTAAGGGTTGATTTTTAAAATGTAGTTTTATTTGAAGCAAAAAAAACCAAACCTGTATGTATGAGTGTGTTTGCATGAGTGGAGCTTGAGTACAGCCAGCTTTTAGACCAACGTTCATACTACTTTCTTCCTGTAGCTCACACTGAGGTCTAAAACTCTTGTGATATTAGCACTTAAATGCAGATGCTGGATGTACCGTAGCAGATGATGAAAATGGCGGTATAAAGGATTCTGGGATTATTTATGGGAAGTTTTTAGGGTAAAAGAAGAATATTGTTAACATATCCTGGGAATTCCTCGGGCTGGAGTGCAGCTGTGTTACGGCTAACATCAAGTTGTTTCACTCTGGATTCTGAATTGGTTTTAACATTGCAGGTATTTTGCGTTTCCAGTCTTACGCACTGGACCTTGATAAGGAAAAATCAACCCAAAAACTGAGTCCTTATTTGAGTCTCTCAGCCTTCTGGTTGGAACGCAGTCTAATAACCAAAGAGCTAATTACAAAAAGCCTCTGATCCGCTTTCGTTGTTTAATGTTTAAGAAGAACATTTCTCAGCACAAAGCATCTGTAACATTTTCTAAGTAAGTTCTGAAAGACATTATACTTGCCTACAGATGTCTAAAAGTAGAATAAATGCAGACATTTGTGAATTGAGATTAGTGGGAACCCCCCATTGGAGTCATTTGATATTCCAAAAAGGAGATTCTGACTTATACTGCACTTGGATGTGCTCTATTTCTAATAAGGAATATTAAATTGAATCACTTTGAAATAGAGCACTGTTTGTGCCTCCCTCTATTAACGTCTATTTTTATCTTTAAAAGGTAAAACAGACTCAAGATCGAGAAACACAGCTATTGCCATGTTTTAAAAAGAGAAACTGCAGTAAAAAAAGGGGGCTTCAAGTCGACTTTAACCTGTCAGCATTTGTGCCTGGGCCACAGTTGGGGCTGATTTTTCTGATAATGCGATGATGATTACGTAAAAAGGTTTGCTCAACCAAAAAGCTCAGGGGAGATGATTGAAACCACGAGCTGTTTTTCAAGGCTCCTCGTGGAGAATCGCTCTCTCTCGGTAGACTGGCTGCATCATTCTGAGCTGCTGTTGAGTTTAAACGGGGGGGAAAGTGTGTGTGTGTGTGTGTGTGTGTGTGTGTGTGTGTGTGTGTGTGTGTGCGGCTGGTTGTGCCATGTTTGTCAAGGTTAGACAGTAAACACAGTTTGACGTTGGTGTGTGTTCATTGCTGAAACCTTGACATTAAAGCCCCTCGTAGCCCGCATGAGTCTGACCAGTCCTCGCACAACCTTTTAACTTCTCTGCTGTGAACAGGTGACGACAGAGTTTATCTGCAGGGTTTAACTGGGCCGCATTCCAATACCATCACTGTGTTTACACTGCGCACACAAATATGTTTCTATTCAAACAGGGATGCCTTAGTCTAGAAATGAAGCTGCTTGTAGAGAAACCGTTCACCGTACGCTTTATTTTACAGCTTTAAGAGGAGAAAGTAACGGTGTCTGATCTGAAAATCATAAATGAAAGACCACACAGAGCAACAGGTAGAGCTGGGTGTTGAACCTGAATACTTTTGTGGTACTGCCTGTAATTTGTCAGTAGTATCAAAGTGCCAAAGGTTGGCATAAAATGTCCCCAAAGAAAAGCCCTAAAAAATAGTCCAAATATTGTTGGACTGAAGATCTAATGGGGTCAAAATGTTCCCTTTATTCAGACCAGTAAAGTTTTGGGAGCTTTGATCTTGGATGCAGATACTTTTCTGTTTTTCTTAAAGCCCCTGAAAACATCTGAAACCTTTCTCTGTAACATTAAATATCCATGACTAGGAATAAGCAACCGTTTGGACAAAAACATCCTTAGTCATTAAGACTTTAAATTAATCTTTTGTTAAACTTTGGTAGAAGATGTGTTAATGTAGGTTTTTAGGGCCTTTTAAATCTACATTTTGCCTATTTTTTTTTAGACTTGTTCTACATAGGCAAAGGTCTTGGACAGCATTTACATTTGACAGCTTTGTGAAATTAAAAAGGAAAAACATGTTTCAGAAACTAGAATACCCAGCTCTAGCAGCAGAGGAAGCTGAAGTTCCCATCTTCCAACAGTTTAATTTTTTAATTTTGGGGATATTAACCCTTTAGGAACCCTTTTAAAACTTTGAACTGCAATATCAAATAGATGTAGGGATGCACCAATACCAATGCCGATACTTGTTGCAGTCTGCATGGAGCACATCGGTATTTGCATGCAGTTTAGGTCAGTGCTGGATTTTGTTCTCCAATATCTAAGTTGGAAATAACCAACACAACATTTAACCAGCGCGATATTGACGAACACGTCAGATAAACATCAGCCACTGATATCGGTGAATACCATCTTATTTGCAAAATACGCCACCGTCAGTAAACAAGGCCAATATTGGCAGATACCGATAAATAGATGCATCCCTTAATAGATGTTAGGAAACTCAGTTTGATGCCTCCAGTCCGCCGATCCTCAAATGTTTTATCTGTATAGTAAAAAAAAAAAAGTGTGTTTCGAGTCTCAGCATGCAAACACACACAACATAAAACAGTATTGTTTGTAAAGATCTCAGTGTTACTCTTCTCGTCATATACATAATTTACTGTACTTCTGAATGTACATAGCGGCAGGTGTGTGTGTATATAGCTTTTAGCTGTGTGTCTGTACATGAGTGATAATCCTCAACAGCAGACCAGAATGTGTGTTGAATATACTCTTCAGACGTTCCGAATTTATATAATAATGTCTCCTCCAGGAAATAGAAATACTTGCACATGACTGTCATGTCAGCAGATGCCTTAGATGTCGCTCTACTGTGACTGTAGTGAGGGGGGAGTTGAATCTGTTTGTTGTTCAATCATTGTTAAAACTGTACAAGTGGTGTGAGGTGTTTGGCACTGGGTTTGACTTGAGCTCAACGTGATGGCTGCTGGAGTCAATGTTACCCTTACCCTATTACTTTGTCATGTTGTGTGAAGTTTTTTTTTTCTTTTGTGTTATTTTTTTTTTTATGTCACAGACTTCTGTTAGAGATTTCTTTTTTTTTATTTTCTGTTTTCATGTTTTTGCTCATTATTATGTGGAGGTACAAAGTATTCAAAAGCCTCTGTTGTCATTCGTGCTCCTTGGAAATGTTGGTTTCCCTCGGGTTGCTCCTACAGTGTTTTTTCTTCACTATGCACGAGTTGGGTCTGTTAGCTACTTTAAATGTTTTCATCCGTTGATCTTGATGCTTCCTGCTACAAGTTTGGTGCAGTGGGCCGAAGTCAGTATTAGTTGGACAGTACTTCTGTTATAATCCTTAAGATTGTCATCCTATCAAACCCAACTTTTGATAGCGATTACGGCTGGCATTTATTCTGTTATAACCATTAAATGTATTTAAACCCATTATTTGGCTCTCTATATAGCAGTTTGCATTGTTAGTGGCGGAGCCTTTAATGACTAGAATACTTACAACCATTTATAGATAGAAAGTTCAAATAAAGATGTCAAATTTCTATCATTTCCAGCTCCGAGCGAAACTCTGAAGGTGTTCCCACCAGTAACCACGGGTGGATTAAGGATTATAACTTTAAACGTACAAATACAGTATACCATGATGGTATATATGAGGCTGCACAGGTAGGGGATGGTCAGAAGCAGTGATGTACTCTTCATCATCTTCATGAAGATAAAGCCTGTTTCATTTTGCATTAAGTGTGTTTATGGAGGAAAAATCTCAGTTTCAGAGAGAAGCTCTTATTTCAGTATCTCATCTCAGGCTTCCGTGGTTCTTCCCAAAGAACGCAGAACTTTTAGTCCCAGGGACGGTACTTTTCAAGGAGCTGAAAGGTTCCTCAAACTCGACTGCGTTTCCGCCTCCACCGAGGATTAGGCAAATTAGTCCGCTGACGTAACCAGTCCAGGCAGATGCCCGTCCACTTAGAGCCGGGGTCTGCTCGAGGTTTCTTCCTCTTAAAGGAACTTTTTCCTCGCCTTTGTCGGACATTTTTTTCTCATGGTGGGAATTGTTGGATCTCTGTAAATAATTTTACGGTTCTAGACTGAAAAGTATCCTGATATAAGTTGTGTTATGACTTGGCGCTATACAACTAGAATTTAATTTAATTAATGTATGAAAAATCAACGGCTGTATTTACACTTTTACATCATTTTTGCGTGCGAATAAACAACAGAAACGATCAGTGCTTCAAGTAGGGACTTTTTGGGGGGTCAAATATTGTCCCCTGAACTTAATTTGGACCCTGGTCTCTGCGATGGAAGCATACTCTAAACGTTTCCAGTCACTGAGGAAAGTTCCTGCAGTGGAAACGCTGTTATAGTCTTAACCTCAGTCCTGATCTGTCTTTGAGTTTTGTCCGAACAGTCGGTCAGTCATGCGAAAGCGTTTTCTTTTCTCCCTCATTGACACAAAATTTAAAAATACAGTACCTGCATGCAAGACTGGACCAGACCAGCACTGACAAGAGACTGATTTAACCTCATTGTAACCAATCACGGTTGATTATCCGATCAGTTCCACGTTGCTTTGGTAAATCTGAATGATAAATAAACAAGCCTAACGTTGCTTTGTATGACTTTAAGTTTGTGATCAGCGACCCTTCTCTCACTCCTCAGTGTGATTATTACTCTGTACAATCAAACTCATGACAGAGGGGCTTTTGAATGCAGCTACCAGTATTTCCATGGAAATCATCAGATTTTTATGGTTCATATAATGTATCTTTGTTTTCTCATTCTTCCTCCTGCATGAATATTTTTGTATGATTTAATAAATGTGTTCAAAATCCCATGTAATCATTATGTTTTAAGTTCATTTGATTAGCTTCCACGTGTCTTTATATATGTTGATTTGTGTCTGCTTGGGACATGTAAATTGCATATAAATTTTAAAAAACTGTCTCGACCATTACAATTTGGTGATCTTGGAATTGTAAGGTTCTCTAATGTTTCGGCCTGATATTAGATATTTATTTATTTATTTATACGCAGTTTTACAAGCAGATCTTGTGAAGACTGATTGTTGAAAAAGATACTAAAAATGCAAATTTAAAAGCTAAAAAAACAAATAAAATTGCCCCAAACATACAGTAGATGAAGCCGTACATTTCCAAGCTCATGACTGTCAAACTTTTATATGTTTTGGTTTCTTTTCTCTGTCCACATGGTTGTAATTCTGTATGTAAAGTCTCCATAAACTTCATGAATTATCCTGTTGGCACTAAGACATGAACTTTTTCCTTCACTTTTCTGAGCGAATACTTCAGTTTCTGTGGCTTTGATGGACTCTCAGACATGACATTGAAAAGTGGTGTTTTTTTTAGACATTGGTGTCCCCTTGTATAAAATCTAATAAAACACTGTTATCATCTAATTTCTCTTAATTCTCATAACTGTTCTGTTTAGAGACGTAGTAAAAGGACCATTCCACTTGTTTCAGTATACTGCGTTCATCAAGCATCAGCATTGGTTTATTCTTGTGAGTTTGAACAAACTCAATCACAGAAAAATAGGGTTTTATCCTAGAATACATTGAAATAAAAGAGGGGGGAAAAGCACTATGAACTAAATCACCTGCCTACAAACTGCTGGCAACCGAAGTGTTACTTTGCTCTGTCATGTTATGTAACATGACCTGCCACTGCTGTCAGTGATCCATTTTTCCAGTTTTACAGCATTTTGCTGTTTCAACAAACAGATGTTTCCTTGCTGGCAGGTCAGCATCTGAATGTGTTTAAAGCTGAAGGTTTTGGTAGGTAAACATCAGCAGGCTCTGAGTTTGGTTGTGAAGTAATAATAGGGACAATAATGATAGAAATAACAATATTAATAATAGCACTTATTAAAACGAGTGTTATGAAGTGCTTTATATATAAAACAACAATAAATACACAGTAATGCATGAATAAACAGAAATAAGAAATAAAAAAGGAATAAAACTTAAAAACAATGATTAAAGACCATATATGAAACACCAAGGATAACATTTATATATCTGAATATAGATAAACCTAAAAATGAAAAGCTAAAATATAAAAGAAGTTTTCAAAACAGAAATGTGTCCTGAAATATTTAATTTTTACAGATTTTTATCATGAAGACAGATGGATGTCTAGCCTAAACTAATTATTTTTATTGTAGATGAGCCACACCCCCCTGAGAAACCTCACCACAGTTCACATGTTTTATGCCTTTAAAATCAAATTACTTTTATTTTTTATTTGAAAATAAAGCATTTAAAGAGGAATATTATAAAAAATACACAATAAATACCAAGTCAGCTCACAAAGGAATGGGAGTGTTTCAGTAGAGGGGGATATTGAGCAGCTTGGCTTTTAAAGGTGCAGCTCAGGCTCTGTAGCGTTTACTGACTGCTCAGAATACAAATACTGGCTGTTATTGGTGGCGGCAAACAGTCGGTGCAAATACTGAGAGTTTAAACGTAGTACAGTAACACAATAGAACAAGAATGAGCTTCACTTGCCTCATATGTTAAGACAGATTCAAGCAGTCTGAGCAGATTTGAAGCTAAAGTGTTCATGGGTGGCACTTTAGTTTCTTGAAACACAATTCCTGCCCCAAACAATAACAAAAGGTGAAGCCAAATCATCCACGGAGGTCTCACAGAGAGAAACAAACAGACTAAAGAGAACAGACTTCAGATTAAAACCAGGAAAAGTCAAAATTTCACCCTTAAAATCACTGTTTTCTCTGACGCTGTTGGACAGACACAGGACGTCACGGAGGGGCTGCGAGCCGGGATGCTGCGAACGTTAGCTCAGCTTGTTTCTCTGATAACGTAAGATCCAGACGTCCGATGACTAAAATCCTTCATCCGGTTTAAATATACAGTTAAAATCTAAACAGTGTATAAAAAAACGTGGCTTAAAAGTCAGTTTATCACAGCGTCTGGCAGACAACAACAGCACTGATGCATTACCTGAATAAAGTGACAGATTTCTCTGAGTTTGAACATTGTTGGAAACATTTGAGATAATGTAAGTACACAACTCAACAATATATATAACATAAGTCTAGTGTTTATAGATATTTGAATGTATAAAAGTTACAGATTATATCTTTAATACATTTCCTTTGGATATAAATCTAACATTTTACATAGGGGATATAATACTTTTTGTCTAAATTTGCCGCATTCTTGTTGTTTTATTTATTAGAAATTTAAGAAAATATTTTTTTCTCAGGGAAAGAAAAATACTGAACTAACCAAAATACAGAGAGATGGATGTGGTCTTGCTTTTGCTTCTGACGTTGTGTGTTTGTGTCACATGTTTTCACTGCCTGAATCTGTTATAAAGCAGCTGGAGTGAGGCTTTTATTTGGGTGAATGAGGCTCTATAATAGTCGTGTTCTTCTGTCTCAGTTTCTGCTCATTCACATCTTTACATCTTCTTTTGCAAGATTATTTGAGTAAGTGTTTTCCTTTGATGCTTTGTTCCAGCTTGGCTTTCGTTAGTTAGGTGTAACTAGTGAATTATGAATGTTTTAGTGGGTGTTACTTTTGCTGCATGAGCTTGGTTATCCTCTTTTTATGGAAGCCCATTTCTGCCAATGTGATGAAAAAAGAAACTACCAAGTAAATATAATGAGAAACTTTCTCAAAATAAGGAAACAGTATCTCAAAATAATGAGTACATTTCTTAAAATAATGACAATGATAATAATTAGTAGCTCAAATAATGAGAAAATGTCTAAATATTTTGACTTAGTATCATAAAATACCGTATTTTCCGGACTATAAGTCGCTCCGGAGTATAAGTATCAGTCAAAAAATGCCTCATGAAGAGGAAAAAAACATATATAAGTCACACCGGACTATAAGTCGCATCTATTTAGAAATGTATTTCACAAAATCAATGACCAAGAACAGACAGAGACTATGTAACTGGACACATAGAGGCCAAAAAGATTGAGAATTCTACCGGGAATGTTTACTGAAGACGAAGGAGTGAAATGAGGTGAGCTTGGCGATACGAAGGCGGACAATTTACAAAAGATTCACTGAACAAAAATGCTGATGTGGTACATGAGAATTTAGCTAAAAATGTGGAGAATGCAATGCAATCAAACATTTTGGACGATGTCTAGGCAAGAAGGTCCACCTGCAAAGTCATTTATATTCATCTCCTTTGCAACTACCAGGGCGTGGAGACGTAACTGCACCGTTGACGAGCCTCTCCCGGCAGCACGTTGTTCAAGCACCCATCTGTGGACTCGTTCCTCCAGCTCTGGCCATCTTGCTTTCAGCCCGCGATTAGCTTTCTTTGTTTCCTTCATTGCAGTAAGAGTAACCTCTGCTTTTCGCCAGTCCCTCAAAAGTTTCTCACTCACTCCAAACTTTCTTTCTGCTGCTCGATGACTGTTTTTGGCTGCATATTTTGCTAGCATCAGTTTATAATCTGCAGAGTATGACTTTCTTTTGGGGGGCATTTTGTTTGTGACTAGTCTTTCCATTCCAGTTGTCTTTAAGTTAATGTTTCAGTTAATTATTTCAAGCCTAGAGCGCCTTCTCGTGGCTGTGGACGGTAATGTTTAGGCTACTCCTCGTTTCATGTCGGAACTATTATTCAAAAACATGTTAAATTTCATATATAAGTCGCACCTGACTATAAGTCGCAGGACCAGCCAGAATATGAAAAAAAGGGCGACTTATAGTCCGGATAATACGTTAATGAAAAGATTTCTCATCATTTTGTCAAAATATTGAGAAAGCTTCTCGTTATTTGATATATTAATAATATTTTGAGATACTAAGTCATTTTTTTGTGGACATTTCTTATTATAATGATTTACAGAATCCTTTTTTTTTCGTCATATTGGCAGAAATGGGCTTCCATACCTTCTTGCAGTGGTGTGTGTGTATATAGGTACTGTACCTATTTGTGCTTACACACATGTGTACATGTAGAGAGTCAAACGTACATTTGATGTCCCCTTGCAAGTTTGAATCCAGATACTATAATTGTGCTTTTTAATATTAATTATACTTTACACAGTAATAGTGTAATATATTCTCCTGCATTGGTATTTCAATACAGATCCGTATTTATTCCATTTTTTTTCACATTTCCAATGTTTCTTTGTATGTTTTCAACTCCTGAAGTTTTGCTTATAGGAAATGATTCATTCCTGATTGATGGTAAGTCTTCACTGATGCAGGGATCTCTGTGTTCGTAACAGCTACAGTTACTGTATGTTGAATTAGTTTTATAACTCAGTATAGATGCAGCTGTTTGTCTGCAGCGGTCGTCAGCTGAGGTGAATTCTCTTTCATGAATGAATAAGTACATTTTCTTCAAAGTTTAAATTATCAATCAACTAATAAGTCTGGTGATATTCTGTGTTTTTCTGCTTACTAACTAACTAAGGATCAAGCAGTATGTTTTTTTAGGGCTGATACAGACACTGATTGTAGTAATCAAGGGAATCAATAACTGATATTTGCTGTAAAAAATAAAAAAACTAATCAGTGGTAGAGTGTAACTCAGTACATTCACTCAAGTACTGTATGTAAGTACAGTTTTGAGGTACTTTACTTGAGTTTTTTCATTTTCTGCTACTTTATACTTCCATTCCACTATATTTATTTAATAACTTAAGTTACTACATACTTTGCAGATTCAAATTATTAATACAAAATCAATTAAATAAGTGATGACAGATCATTATATATAATACTATTAATCAAAATCCACAAAGTTCAGGTATTGGAATTGGTATCAGGAAGGAAAAAATGGTATCAGAACATCACTAATTTATTTGATGAGCAAGGTATTGTGTGTGGATCCAAAATTGAGGTGACTACATGAGGCATTTTTATTCTGATTGGGCTTTTTTTTTTACAATTATTAGTGGAACTTTTCACCCAATGTGTATTAATCCGCAGCTGAAAATAGTTCCCAACAAATACATGACTTCCTCCTGTTTGAGTAACGTTTGCTAAACGTTTGCCTTTAAAAGCCTATAACTATAGAACAACACCAGATATGATATAATTATTAATGAATGAATCTGAAAGGAATTATAAAGAAGGAATGACTGAAACTGAATTCCCCTCAATGCTTCTAAGAAAATAAATCTGTAACAATAGTCCGATATGGAGTTTAATCCCAACTCTTCCCTCATGACAATAGTAGCTGTTACTGTTTATCATCGCTGATGGAGTGAAAACAGGATGAATGTGTGGTTTGTCTGTCTCTGTCCGCAGGTGAAGACCGTTATCAACCTGCTGTTTGCTGCCTACACAGGAGACGTCTCTGCCCTGAGGAGGTGCTCACACTTTTCTTACTAACTTATATATTGACCACCGTACATTCCTAACATGTAAACTGTGTGTAATTATTATTTCACTGA